CCCCTCCCTCCCCCTCCCTCCCCCTCCCTCCCCCTCCCTCCTTCCCTCTCTCTCCTTCCCTTCTTCCATCTCTCTCTTTTTCTCCCTCCCTCCTTCCCCTCCTGCTTGAGGGGACTCAAGCAGGTGAAACAGAGTCTGGACTGGGTACCAGCGTCTATATTCTTAAATACCTGGTCCGTAGAAGGAACTTAATGGGTCAACAATTCTCCCTAAAACAGTAATGAACCCACGGTTCCGCGGGAGGAAGGGAGATGGGGTAGGAGGAGGCCTCTCAAGGACTTTGTTAGCCTGGGGTTTGGTTCTTCCCCTTGCTTTTCACACTGGATATAATCGTTTCCTTTAGGGACTGGGGTGTCCTTCCTCACCCTCAGCCCTAATTGGTGCTACTTCCTTCCAGAGGTTCCTAGGTGACCACCACCTCAGGTGAGCTCATTGCCAGGGCTCAGGCAGCCTGAGGGATGAGATTGGCTAGGATGTGTCTAGAACCATGGTTTCTCATTTGTGAGCTCAGAACTGCCTTGTGGTCCCAGAAAGACACCTCAGTGCACACGGAGGGTTTGTGGAACACACTAGCAGCATGTGGGCTGGGGACCTAATCCAATGAGCTCATAACATCTACCCTGAGAGCTGGGCATGGTGGCCTGCAGCATTAATCTCAAATACTCCATGAAGCAGAGGCAGGTGGATCTCTGTGAGTCTCCATCATGAGTTCCAGGCCACAGTTACACAGTGAGCTCTTGTCTCAGAAAATAATAAATAAAAATAAAAAAATCACCATAGATGAGACAGAGTCCACAGGCTTTATTCATTTTACCCTAGGTTCCGTGAGGGGACGGCTAAGAAACCCCTGCCATTGTCAAAGCTGTTTGTATTCAGAACTGAGGACACGGAACATTAGGTCTGTGGAGACCTCAGCTGCCGTCGTCACAGTGGAGCAAGGGGGCTATGGCTCTGCACTCAGCAGATGCGGGCACACATTTTTAGGTTTGTGGAAAACAGTAATAGGATTCTTTAAAAGCTGTAAATCAAGAGCAGGAGAGATAGACCCGTGGTTTAGAGCACTTGTGACTCTTGCAGAGGACCTGGGTTCAACTCCCAGCACCCAAACAGTGGTTCAAACCATCTATAGCTCCAATTCTGGTGATCTGATGCCCTCTTCTGGCCTACATGTATGTGATGCACAGTAAAAAAATGCATGCAAAATACCCATACACACAAAATAATAAAATAAAATAAAACAAATTTGTCTGTTCGTTGAGAAAGTATTTCTCTGTAGTCCTGGCTGTCCTGGAACTCACTCTGTAGACCAGGCTGGCCTCCAGCTCACAGAGATCTACCCGTCTTGCCTGGTTTTCCCCCCTCCCCATTGTTAAACCTGTATTATTCATTTATTTGTTCATTCATTCATCCATCCATCTCTCTCCATCTATCTATCTATCTATCTATCTATCTATCTATCTATCTATCTATCCATCTATCTTCTTACTATGTGGTACTGGGAGTTGAACCTGGAGCCTAGCACATGCTAGTCAAGTACTCTACCACCATGCTACAGCCCAGGCAAAATAAAATAAGATTTTAAGCAATGCTGTAGACTCTGTCTGCCGTAAACGTTGGGGGTGGGTGGATCCGACCTGAAGCTCGCCTGTCATTTACTGATGTTGACTTAGGAAAGGAACCTCACAGAGTGAGCCTCCCATCTGTGACAGGCATCTGCAGCCCTGGTGTTTGGTGAGCTTGGATATGCTCTAAGTGAGAGTGAATGTACCAGAGAGGAGAGGGAGCTGGGAGCTCCTGCACCTGCTGTGACCCCCTCCTTGTTATTCAAGCCCCCTCAGGGCAGAACCCAGATTCTCACTCCTGAGGCTACTCTCCCAGAAGGCCTGGCTCTTCTTTGGACTCCCCTCCTACATCTCAGTACCTTGTCCCAGAAGAGAACAATGAGGCTGACTCCAAGAAAGCTCCTGAGCCTTTGGGTCCACGTGCAGCCCCAGCCCCTCACACAGATGACGGAAGCCCCACAGACCTTTTGCTGTCATCGTGGATCTGATTCCGGTTCTTCAAAATCTCTTTTCCCAGGCTGCTCAGGCTCACTTGGGTTTCTGTGACGTTGTGGGAACACCTCGAGAGGACCTCTGAGAACTGTGGGGCCAAAAGAGAGACTTCTATGGGGTCCTGAACTCAGAACTATGCTGGTCCATCTGCAGTGGTCCCCCTGTCCACCCCTTATTCCTATAAAGCTCTGCCCCTGGGGCTCACTCACAGTCTGCAGCCTGGACCACAGCTCTGTGGCCTCCTTTAGTTCCTGGAACTCTGACATCCCAACTCCACTGCTGAGTCTGGAAGGGAAGGAGAAGGCTATGGTGGGGAGGAAGGAGAGGCTGTGGTGGGGAGGAAGGAGAGGCTATGGTGGGGAGGAAGGAGAGGCTATGGTGGGGAGGAAGGAGAGGCTATGGTGGGGAGGAAGGAGAAGGCTATGGTGGGGAGGAGGGAGCGGCTATGAGAGGCTCAGGAGGCAGCTGAAGAGGCAGAGAGCTCTGAACCCATACACTGGCACAGTTTCTTTGTGACAGTATTGTTGGCTTTTGGCGGGAGTTTGAGACAGAAGAACCAACATGACATGGGCCCTTCACACAGACGTTGTAATATTATTGAGCAAAGAATAAAAGTTGAAGTAGACTGAAATACCTGAATTCATGAAAACATACTAGCCTACAATGCAAGGGAGCTATTAGTAAAACTCCTTATTAGAAAGTTCTATAATTAAATAGAATAAAGTTCTTCCCAGTAGAACCGGTAATTCTTGACCACCAATAGCACTTCATTGGGAGGGTACAGGCCCATAGTAGTCCAGGACTTGGACCATGAGCCTCCCATCGCCCCAGTGAGATGATTGACGCTGAATTCGACCAAGAATGATTGAAATGAAAGGTGGACACAGTATTTTCAAGATGACACAGTAACACTGCCTTGGCTCCCTTGCAGGAAAAGTACACTACACAGTAAGAACTTAGTACACGGGAAAAGTACACCTACACAGTAAGGGATTAGTACACTACACAGGATCAGTACACTACACAGTAAGGGTCAGTACACTACACATTAAGGGGTCACCTGGCACACATGGTGCACCCACAGTTAGTACCCCGCATGGTCTATGGTGTTCTAACACAAGATGTTTAACCTGACTCCAACTGTCCATGGAACCCCTAACTTACCAAACGTGCTGGGTGGAAGAGAAGCCAAATGGCAACGAGAGAGTGTTCTGTGAGTCTGAGGGTTGGGGAGCCAGAGGGAAAGAACTTAAAATAAAGTCAAGGATCAAAACTACCAGACACAAAGTGTGGTTCTGGACTGGTTTCCAGTCTGGACAGAACGAGCTGTAAAAGGAAACTGTAGGACAATGACAGAAAAGTCCCAGCCATGATGGGTACCAGCAGATGGGAATGTACTGATGGAAGGGGGCCCAGACAGATGCAGGCAGGTGAGAGGTCTGGGTGGGGGAGGGGCTTCTGCTCTTCCTGGCTTTCTCCTACCTGTATATATTCTTTTTTAAAAAAGACTTTTTCTCTTTTCTATTTTAATTTTTTTCCAGACAATATATTCTGATCATATTTTCCCCTCTCCACCTCTTATATCCCTACCCATTCAACTTTATATTCTTTTCCTCACTTGAAAGAAAACAGAAACAAAAATCAAAAACAAACAACCAATAAGACAAATGTTAGAACAGAGTGAAACATAAGTCATCCTCCACCGTCAAACAACAACCTCAGGATTGCTGATGTCCCGATATCCAGATATCCCTCCAGCCAGAGACCTTCAGGACAAAGGACAGGAAGGCTGCCTTGCCAAGGAAGCACAGCTGGGGTGGAGGCTGCTATCAGCCCTTAGAGGAATCTGCAGGTCTGAGGGTGTCCCGAAAAGAATGGATTGCAAAGCCCTGTACTGGGAAGCTTCACATACTGGCAGAGGCCCAGGAAGGGAAAGGTACTGATGACCTGTGACCCCCTGCAAGCCAGGAAGGAGATCCCATCTGGACTCTAGCTCTATGTGGGCCCCTCTGCTCCCCATCCTCCCCCAAACACCTGATGCTCCTGACCTCAGAGCCTTGGAGCCAGAGTGGAAAACCCACCGGCCTCCTACAACCTGTCAGTGCCGGGTAAGGGGCAGACAGACACCTCATACCTTCCTCCACACTTCTCCCTCTAGACTGAGAACCCACAAACAATCACCGTGGTCGGGTTTTTTTGTTTTGTTTTGTTTTTGGTACTAAATGGACCCTCCAGGATTCCAAGCCTTCCCCACCCACCTCTCTCCCTGACTCCACTCCAGGATATTTGCCTCACGGCATCCTTTCTATCCCCCACCAACTTGGACTTTGTGGGCTCCAAATCTTGGTGCCCTGACTCCCTATTCCCAGAGGGCCCTTCCCCAGGCTTATGTGCCAAGGAAAGACTGAGTGCACCAGGGCCACAGAGGCCCCTCTGTGGGGCAGATGCCACATCCTACCCCTAAGTCCCATCTCTGTGCCCACAGGGGAGTAGCCAGAGGTCCATCAGGAATGTTCCTGGTGGCTCCACCCTCTGTCACCATCCAAAGGGACTCAGCCACAGTGGGCTCCGGTCCTGTCATCTGGAAACACCCTTCTTCCCTTTATCCTCCTCCCCATCACCTCATCGGCAGACTCTGCCAGGTCTGGGCTCAAACAGAGATCCAGCCCACCCTGGGAAACTCCCGGCACTTCCGAGGGAAAGGCTCATGCTATGGGGCATTTGAGGGCGTGGGGACGGGTGTGGGTGTGGGTGTGTGTGTGCGCGAGCGCTTATAGCCGTGCTTCAGGAATGTTGTCCCGCCTTGGCGGGAAAGCTTCCCTGGGCTGTAGGACTTCCATCTCTCAGCACCTCGGTCCTCTGCCTTTCAGGATTCAGGCTGTGTTCCCTTCACAGCAGTACTCTGGCCAGCCCATCTTCCCTCGCTCTTCCTCCCTACCCTTTACCAGTTTAGCTTCCCCCTCCCCAGGCTCTTTCTTTGCACCTCAGAGGGCAAGGGCAAGTGGAAGACCCAGAGGACATAGGGGCAAAGCTGTGGAGGCCGAGAGTCTGGATTCCCATCCCTGGTCGTGTGCAGGGACAGTACCTGGAAACGCCCTTCCTCTGGATTCTCTCTGGGGCTCGGCGCAGAATGAGTGTGTCAAATCGTTCCAAGTCCTGGGGGATTAAGGCCCTACCTGGGGTAGGGAGCTGCTTTTCCTGGGGCACAAGAGGGTACTAGCCTTTTGGGGGCTGGAGGCTGCCCTTTCCGAGGTAAGGGACTGCCCTGGAGCCCAGAGAGGCAGTGCCCACATGCATTTCTCCCCGCAGGAGGCAGGACTAAGCTGGAGATGGGTACCATTTGGAAAGACAGGGCATGAGGATGGAGTGAGGATGCTAATGTTGCAGGGGGTGGGAACTCAAGGCGATACACTGCAGGAGTGAGGAGCCTGAAGGAAAGCTGAGGGGCCCCAGCTGGCCGCGGCAGAACACCCACCTTTCAATGCCCAGGCTGCTGCTGAGGAAGAGAAGGGCCGTCCGCGTGACCTCCAGTGTCTGCCGGCACGTGTTCTGAAGCGCCTCCCTGTGTGAGGGGAGCCCTAGTCAGAGTCACCTTGACCAGGGCGCTGTGCATGTAGGCATGGCCTCAGAGAGGTACAGAGGAGATCTGGATGGGCCCACCACAGTACTCACAGGACCCAGTGGGACCCTCGAAGCATCCACGCCTGCCCATCCAGCAGGACCCGCGCCAGCCACAGGGCCTGGTAACCAGCACCCAGCACCCCCTGAAACATACAGATGGGCAGGGCAGGCCTTCCCCTGTGCCAGACCCCCTTCTGTCTCCTGGGGGCCCGCCCCTCACCTTAGCCGTGTTGTAATCTGCCTGTAGGTCGACCTTGGGGACGAACTTTGGGATGTCCAGAGCAGCTGCAGACAAAGATCCTGTCTGAGGGGCCTGCTTTTATGAACCGGGTCAACTCTGAGGCCGTCCTTTCTTGTTCCCAGCTCACAGTCACCCCTCACACCCCTCACTGTTGATCTCCCGCCTAAACCTTCCCAACTCTCCCGGAGGCTCTCCTCTGGCAAACTTCGACCCAAGCGGATCTTCGCAGACTCAGTTCTTTATTGCCACCTTGTGGTCAGATTTGAGAACTACACCCTAAAGCTTAAATCCCTGCCTCTCCAGCCAATAGACCCTAGTCTCTTGCAAGGTTAAAGCCTCACTCAAATCCAAATGAGAAGGAATGTTTCTAGAAATTAAGAAAAGAATAAAGCTCTGGGCCTTGGCCCACCTGCCCTTCTCTCCAGCAGCTAAAACTACCCAAAGCATCCCCACCATTCATTGAGACTGGAGGGCATAAGGGTTCCAAATACCCCATCTCTGTCAGAGGATCTGGGGAAGCCAGGAAAGTCTAGTCACCAGTTCAAGTCACACGGCAACTCAGAGGTGAGCATAGAATTAAACCCAAATTGGCTTCTACTGTGTGGGCCAGAGAAACATTTACGAGGAAAACAAGTCATGCCCTGGGCTGTAAACCCAAATATTCTGCAAGAGTGTCTCAAGCATAAAAGATTCAGCCTGAATGGTCCTACTCACGGTCCCTGAAGGCCAGCCCCTTGGGTGCATCGTTGGCCAAGCTGAAGAGAATCAGGGGGCTGCTGGCAGCTGTGGGGGCAATGTGCTGGGCTGAGAGGCTTGGATCAAGGACACAAGGGTGACCCTCAAAGAGGTACTCCTGGTGTTTGGGAGGCACGTTGGTCTGCTCATAAACAGCCTCCAAAAAGATGGCAATCCTAGACACATGAGAGGAGGGAGGTGTGGGCACCAGGGGGAGGGCTCAGCATTTGGGGGGGAGGGAGGTGTGGGCACCAGGGGGAGGGCTCAGCATTTGGGGGGGGGGGAGGTGTGGGCACCAGGGGCGGGCTCAGCATTTGGGGGGAGGGAGGTGTGGGCACCAAGGGGAGGGCTCAGCTTTTTTTGGGGGAGGGAGGTGTCGGCACCAGGGAGGGCTCAGCTTTTTGGGGCCAGGGGCCAGAGAGGGGTAGTTTTTCATCAAAGATGGAGCAGCAAAGGGCAGAGTTTATGCAAAGTGGGAAGAAGACCCAAGAGTTCCAACGCCTAGCCTCTTTGTGTTCAATCCATCTATACCCTCATTAAAATTGTCCTGATCCCATCCAGTGATCTGTGTGTTGGGGACTGTGCCTGCAATCCTAGTTCTTGTAAGGCTGAGGCAGGAGGATGGAGTTTGAGGTCAGCTGGGCTACACATCAAGTTTCTGTCCCCAACAGCAAAGACCAAGAATTTAATGAGTGCAGCAGCTCTATGGGAAACAGAGCGCCCCACCTCTGAGACTGATAGCCCAGGCTAACACCGTAAAGACCAGGAACTTAGTGAGTGCAGCAGCTCTATGGGAAACAGAGCGCCCCCACCTCTGAGACTGATAGCCCAGGCTAGCACTGTAAAGACCAGGAACTTAGTGAGTGCGGTGGTTCTATGAGAAATAAACAAAGGGCCCCGCCCCCGAGACTCATAGCCCAGGCTAGCACCGTAATGACTGTGGAATCTGGAACACAAACCAGGAAGTCCCTCAACTTGAACTTGGTGGAAATAGTACTTTTTCCAAATGTGTTTTGGGGGAACGTACTCTTGCATCTACACGACAGCTTAGATGCGGGATGAGGGGGGTTCTGCTGTTCCCACTCACGTGTTGTGGGCATGGATGTAGACATGATGCAAGACCGCCTGGGGCAGGGAGAATACATGAATGATGATTCGCTGCAGGATGTCACTGGTCTCCGCAAAGAACTGGTCAAAGCCCCAGCATTTGGCCTGCTCTGCCTCCAGGATGTTGGCCAGGATGGGCACCAGCTGACTCTGCAGCCCCCTACACACACACAAGACATGAAGGCTGCCAGGGCTGAGGCCCAAGCATCCAAATGAACTTCCCAGGCTACAGAGGAGAAGTGGAGAGCCCAGGGCTCTGCTGATACATCCCAGAAGACCTGACTCAGCAGAGAGAGGTGATCCCTCTCTTAGAGAGCCTGCCCCTCTCACTTACATGGACAGTCTGCATGTGATGGGGAGGTTATAGCTCCACTCCAGGGGCCCGTTCTCCTGCCTCTGAGTCCCTGAAATGGCCCCGACTGGCTTCTCTGTCGTGATCCTGTACCTGTGGTGGGGCAGAATGAGGCCACTAGACCCCGCCTCCACCTCCCATCCATCCTACTTTCTCTCCTACCCGCAACTTTAAGAAACAATAAACTCCAACCAGAGAGTGGTTCATGTCACCCAGCCACTGAGAGGGAGCTGGAAAATGACACTGGGTCTACCTGTGAGATCACCTCTGCCCAGCCAAGCTCCTGGCTTTAGGCAGAGCCCTTCTCGCTGTCACTACGGCTGTTCCAAGTCCAGCCACCTCCACATCTGTGCCGTGCTGAGTTCCGTGACAAACATTCTCTCCTCACTTTTCTAAATGCTTCCCCAATCTAGCCTTCCCTGATGGCCCACTCCATTCCAACATTCCCCCTGGTCCCCAAACCCAATATCGGTTCCACGCAGCTCACCCCAGGACCAAGGGTGCACGCACCAACCTTCCTGATGACACACTGCTAAGAGAAACACTCTGAGATGACTTCCGTTTATAACAGGATGGAGGAGGGAAGAGATGCTAACAATTGGTCAGTTCTGAGGGAACCATCAGAATGATTTCACATCCCTGAACATATGCTGACTTAGACCACTGCACTTCTGACTTCCAAAACCACCGTGCTCTGCCTCTCTGTACCTCGGCAGGCCACTAACTGCCACCAGCGCTGTCACAAGCACTCCTTCTGGACCGCCCTGCAATCCCAAAGCCCTCTCCTCTCAACTGCCCACTATCTACCGCTAATGTAGACTTAGGTTTTTCTTCCCCAGTATTTATTTATAATGAGTTCTTGGTGCTAGGTCCAGTAGGTGTTTTCCCACCTGCCCTCCAGCTAGAACCCTGGGAACTTGTCCCAAGACTTGATCCTTTTCTTCTACACAGCATCAGTAACAGCTCAGCAGATTCCTGTATTGCAGGGCCCTCATTTCTGTGGTTTGCTCTTTGGTTCTGGGCAGAACGTCCTGGCAGCCCCTGTTAACTCCTCCTATCAGTCAGTGAGAGACACTAAGAAGTGTGCCTGGGTACCAGCTCCATCTTCACCCCTGCAGCCAAGGCAACCTTGCAAGCCTCCTTGAGCCTTAGTGGAGATGTGGTGGGATAGGAACGGGGAGGCAAGGCTAGAGGGACCACTGAACTAACACAAAGGGGTATGAGTGCTCTCTACCAAGCCAGGGGTGTAAGGTTGTGCCTCTGGTTTGATTAGCAGTGGCTCTGAAAGAGTCTAGGTAGGAACCTGGGTAGGAGACACAGCAGGACCCAGTGGGGGAAGGGCTAGGTGTCTGCCAGGAAAAAGTCCGGGGGGGGGGGGAGGAGGCTTTCCCCTTCATTCCCTGCCCCATTGCCCACCGTACATGATCTCCTTGTTGCGCCGGGGCCCACCAAAGGGGAGGAAGGGCAGACTACCGGTGGCTGCATGGTACAGGGTCACCCCAATACTCCAGAGATCCACAGTCACCCCGAACGCCTTTTGCTGGGGTTTACGAAGCACGGCCCGCTCATACATGTCAGGGTGCTATGGGAGAAAGGTAGACGGTAGCCATGGAGGGGCAGTGTGGGCCCTAGGGGACGCTTAGGAAGGCACAAAGCAAGGGGCTGTCAGCTTGGGGCAGAGGGTCTCCAATGTGTCACTTACCAGGTATTCCTCCGTACCATAGACAGAAACAAAGCTCTCCTCATCGTCCAGCTTCCGAGCAGCCCCAAAGTCGGACAGCTTGTAGATGCTCTGCCCCTCCTCCCCCACCAGGCGCATGATGTTCCCAGGTTTGATGTCACGGTGGACGATGCCGTTCTCCCGCAAGTGGTTCATGCCAGCCACTGGGGACAGACAGAGCACGGTTCCTAGATTGGCTCAGCTAGGGACCAGTCGGTCTAATGTCTGAGGTTTGTCCCGAGGAAGAGTCTGTCCTTGGACAAATAAACAGTGGGCTGCACAGGGGACTCAGTACAGGGAAAACTGGAGAACAGAGAAGCCCAGAGGGCTAAGAAGGGGCTTTCCAAGCTGGGGAGCGGGACCAATGGTTGAGAGCACTGGCTGTTCTTTCAGATGACCCTGGTTCAATTCCCAGCACCCACAGGTCAGCTCACAACTAGAACTCCAGTTCCAGGAGATCCAGTGCCTTCTTCTGGCCTCTGCAGGCACCAGTCATGCATGTGGTACACAGACATGTACAGGCACAACACCCACACACATAAAGTAAAAATAATATAATAAATTTTAAGGGGGGTGGAGAGAAGGTTCAGTTAAGAGCACTTGCCACTCTTTGTGAGGACCCAAGTTCAGTTCCCAGCACCCACATGGTGGTTCACAACCATCTGTAACTCCAGGTCCAGGGTATCTGACACCCTCTTCTGACCGCTGAGGGTACCAGGTTACACACAGTGAGCATGCATTCGTGTAGGCAAAACACTCATACACATTGTCATCTATTTTTTTAATAAATAAGAGGAAGGATCCCAAGGACATCGTAATATTGACTTATTTAGATTCTGTGGGGGGCCCGGGGTACATCTTCTCCATCTTATTATTGACTTGTGGTAAAATATACCCTAACAACAGTTATCATTTAAAATTTTGGTTTTGGATGTGTTTTACTATGTAGCCCAGGCTGCCCTGGAGTTCCTCATCAGCCTGCCTCAGCCTCCCCAGGGTGGCCCTTCAATTTAAGCATTTTTAAGCACATGGCTTTAAGCACATTAACCTTCTCCTCCTACAGAATAAAGTTCCACCTTGTCAAACAGCAGTCCCTACTCCGCACTCCCAGCCCCGCACAGCATTCTGCCTCTGTCTCCAGCAACTCAGTTCCCCCAGGAGCTGTACCCTAGTTGAAGTGTGGTTTTTGCCTCTATGGCTAGATCCCTCAGCACAGTGTCCTCCAGTTTCGTCCACATTTCCTGCGTGTTAGAAGTCCCTCCGCTGTATGGCTACCCCACTGTCTGCAGGCACCCAATCCTTTTTGGCTGTCTTACCTGCTGCCTGCTGTGAATGATGCTACCTTCAACACCAGAAAACAATCATTTTAGAACATTCTTTCTACAGCTTTGAGCTGAATCAATCACGTGAGTCCTCGTGGCCCGCCCCTCTGCCTCAGGACCCCTGGGACACCTGTTTCAGAATAGCACACCCATCCTGGACCTTGCCGGTGCAGAGGACCTGGGGATGGGGCAGGGCTCACCCACACAGCGCAGGACCACCAGGAACTCCTCCTCGGGAAGCCCAAATGTGTTCTCAGGGTCTTCCAGGACACTCAGTAGGCTCCCGCTGGGGCAGTACTCCATTACGATCACCTTCTGCTGGCTGCCTCCCTGGGCACAGGGCAGAAGGAGGCTTGAAAAGGGGGGTACTTCTGACATCTGCCTGTCAGGAGGTTCCTTACCTAGAGCCCACAGCCCTCATTCCCTGGCGCAGCCTCTTGCCTGGCCTTCCATCCCAGACACAGGAACCCAAGAAACCCTCTGTAATTGGGGACTGAGTCCCCCTTTCCTTTCCTAATGATTTTCCTATGTGATCCCACACCACAGGTTCCTTACCCCGCCCATCCCCCCCGCCCGCTCTGGACTGCTGCTGAGCCTTGACTTGCCTATCCCTGGCCTGCAAAAGCCACGATCAAGTGCATCCTTCTCTAACCAAGCAGAGGACCCACCGTTTCCTCCACAGCGAAGAGCTTGACAACATTCTGGTGGTCGAGCTTCCGCAGCACCTCAAACTCCCTCACTTGCACCTCGGGGGGCCGCCGGTAGCTGGCTGAGTTGAAGACCTTTACAGCAACCACCTCCCCAGATTTCTGGCGTGTGGGCATAGGGTTGGGAATCAACAAGGGGACCATGCTGGCCCTACCCATCAGGGAGCTGCCTCCTTTCCCTCTCTTTGGGGGGGGCTGGATGGGCTTACATCGCAGCCCCTTCCCCTACTCAGGGGGCTGGAGTGGCACTTGGAGGTGACACCCCTGGTACCCCACAAGGGATGACTTGTGCTATTGCTCATTTTGCCATAGATAAGAACTGCCTGGGCAGTCTACCTGGCCTGCAGCTCCTGAACACGGGGTGTATTCTGACACAGCTCCGCAGCCACTGCAGGACAAACTCAGACAGGCCCAACCTCCCAGTCCTGCCATTCCTAGATCCCACTTGCTGTCACCTCCTCTTTTGCCTTGCCCTCTAGTCCCAACATGTCTCTGACAGAGGCAACATTCCGAGGGATTCTTTCAGCATCTCACACCTCAGCTCAAACCTATGAGTCCTTTCTCATCAGGGTAGACAGAACAGAGGCATGGAACCGTTTCCCAGCTACACAGAATCCGAATGCCCAATAGAGGGCTAGTTTTAGGGCATGTAAGGGTCTGGGGCCAGAGTTGCTATTACCTTGTTTCGGGCCTTGTACACACTGGCAGTGGCCCCCTGCCCTAGCAGGTCATCCGTGTGCCATAGGTAATTAGCTGTGCTCTGCATCTCCCAGGTTTGGTTACCTTCCACCTGGGAAAACAAAACAACCATTGGGGGTCCCAAGGTCCCAGGCCTGACCTGAAATAGATACTGGTAGCCAGCCATCAGCTCCCAAGACCATCCCACAAAGGGCTCTATGTGGCCATGGCACAGGCAAGGGAGCCGGGGAAATGGTGGGACAGGAAGATTAAGTAACTTCCCCCCAAAGAAACACAACAGCAGCAGGAGGGCCCCAAGCTTGCATCTGTTTTCTCCATGGGCACTTCTCTCTGTCCTGTGCCCCAGGTCCCTTCCAGCACCTTTCAGAGGTAGGCCAATCTATGGGGACTTTCTCTATCACCTCTTTCGGGCACTGGGGACTCAGAGTTTCGGCATTCAGGCCTGGGACTGTCCCAGGAAGCAGACACAGTGCGGGAAGAAGGGCCCTGGGTCAGCCAGGGTCAGGCAGAGTCAGTCACAAATCTCCAGGATTGCAACATGAGTCTGGAGCACCCCCCTTCACCCTCCTTTCTCTGCTTGCCTGGCCCCAAACTTCCTACTGCTGGGAGCTAACAGCTGCTCACCAGGCAGTCAGGGCTGGCCCAGTGCTTTTCCAGAAGGGACAGGGCTGCGGGAGGGGGGGGGGCACAGCTAGGGAGAAAGGATGGGAGGAAGAAAAGGGAGGGGTAGGTGCCAAAGGAGAGTGGGGAGGATCTAAGACCATCGCACACAAGAGCAAAGAGCTCTGGGGAAGATCTGAGACTGTCCACACTCTGCTCCCCATCTTTGCTCTCATCCTGTTCCCCTCAAAGCTGGTTCCTCTAAAGCAACCAGTTCTAGAAGGTGTGGCCTCAGAAGTCGCACTCACGGCCTATCTGCAAGACAGGGCCAGAGTCAGCCTCTGGGGATGCCTAGGGGCAGGGGGGGCCACCACCCCTTCAATGTTTTGAAATTAAGTTGCTGTAGGCAGGGCCTCTTCCTGCTCCAGCAGCTCACTGAGTCTCAAACCAAAGATAGTTCGATTTGGAGCCTATTCTTTTTATTTATTTACTTATTTTTAAGACAGAGTAGCCAGCCCAGTACCTTCGGTGGTATTGAGGATGGTCTTGAACTTCTGCATCTCCTTCCTAAATGCTCGGATTCTAGTTGTGCACCACCATTCCCTGTTAAGTAGGTGCTTCAAACCCACGGCTTTGCGTGCTAGGCAAGCATTCCACAGACTGAGCGAGCTAGGTCCCCGCTGGTCCTCTCATTTAAAGATGCTAAGCCTGGAGAATGTCAGCTTTTGAGCCAGAAGCCACTTGAAGAGAGCAGTAGTCATGCCCTAGTTTCAGGCAACACACTCACATTTGCATTATGCAAAAGTAAGGCTGCTGGTGAGCCCTTCCAAGGCAACGTGAAGGAGTAGCCATGGTTCTCCACATGGCTGAAGAGTCAGACCAATGTGAAGCTCAGGCGGGGTATATGGGAATGGAGGTCAAGGTCCTAGGCTTGGGAAGTAGGGGCACCAGATTGTATCACTTTCATAACTCTACCTTGGTCCTCAGCCAAGCTCTGGCGTTAGGGCAAAGCACAGCTGAGGTCAGGGAGACGGGCAGTGCAGCTGAGGTCAGGGAGACGGGCAGTGAGACGCACGGAACAGAATCCCCCAGGGCTGCACGGTCCTGGGTTCTGTGCCTGGAAGCTCTGACTAGGGCACATCTGGATCACCGTGCACTCTCATCTCCTGCCAGCCCCTTCTCCACATGGAATGTGCAGCAGCCTCCAGTGAGCCAACACCAGCCATCTCATGGACCCCCATCCTCCTTGGGGGTTCTTCTGTGGCAGCTGTACTTACCTGCACTCCGAGTAGCCCAGAATCAGGCAGGCTCTCCCTGGCAAGTGTGTATTATGCTTTCTGTCTGGGGCAAGTTCAGGAGCTGAGCTACACCGGAAAGAGAAGGGTGGGTGGATGAGAGGCCCCCTCGGTGCTGTTTGATTCTCAGCCCCATCAAAGGCCACCGGTCTCAGCTTTTTAACCCTTTCCCGTTGTCACCTTCCCTACAAGACTGAGGGTTTTGCAGCCTCTTTCCACATGCTCTGGGAACCTCTCCTAGCTATTCTGGGCCTCAGGGAAAAGATCCCAAGCAGAGGTCAGTAGGGGTACCCAGAACTGAACCCCAGCTTTGCATCAGCATGTTGAGAAGCAGAGGCCAAGATTGGAAACTTCTTGACCAGTCTCCTCAGGGCCATACTCCTCCCTGCCCCTGCCAGGCCTCCAAACAATCCTTTCTGAGAATCGTTATCTTTTTCAACAGAAGGAGTGCAGTACACCACCAGGTTCCCAGCAGCCTCGAGAAAGATGGGAGGGGGACATTCAGTTGAGTGTTTCCTTGAGGCTGCCCCACTAGGCTCCCCCAGGCCACCCTCCTCCACAGCCCCTACACACTCACCCCATCTCCCAGCTCAGCTGCAGGGGAATGTAGACTTGTGGGACTGGGTGGCATCCCCAGGGTTTTCAGGCCTTGAAGTCAATCCTGGTAGCCATGAGCCCCCAAGATCCACACACACAGGCAAAGCTAGTGGTGATGGCCCTGGACCTGAGGTTCTTTCCTGCCTCTCTGACAGCAGTGGGTACCCAGAAGAGCAGAGCCCAGGCTCTAAGTTCTATCCTACTTCCTGATTCACTTCTCTCCCTCTCCCCACCTCTTTCCCTCCCTTCCTCTCTCTCTCTTAAAGAGACAGGCAGCTCAGTCGCTGCCACACACACCTCCACCCCACAGCAGGAAAGGGAAAGAGGATGCTATAAGTTGTCAAGTGGAAGCCTTAGGACCCTTGTCTGAGCCACAAAAAAGCCAGCAACCGAGGCTGGGGCTTCTGTGACAGGCCACTGAGTGCTGTGCTGGTATCTTTGGCAGGGGAATTCAGGGCTCTGCTTAAAATCAACTAAAGAGGTTAAATAAGTTAACCACATTGAAAATTGCCTAGAAAGGCCCAAGATCTGTGCTTGGCCTCTCCCAGAAGCTGGACAGGGTTTGTCTTCCTTACAGCCTACAAGAACAAGCACACACCCAGGTCATGGCCTCTACTTCAACTGACCTCACACACAGCCACACANGGAGCTTTCTGACCATAGCCAGAAGGTTGGTTTTAGGATGTGTGGATGGCAGAGGATGTAGTATCTGGTAAACTCTGGGAGACTGGGAAGTGATTTTCAGACCACATTGGATAGAATCAAGTCTTACATACCTTTAGTAATTTGCCTGTGATTTGCCACCTTCTCGGCCATAACCCCGTGCCCTAGATATCCTGGGAAGCTGGAAGGGGTCTGTGCTGCTCTGGTCAGCTCTGAGTGGGCAGTTGGATGAGTGGTTAAAACCAGGAAATTCCATGTTTCTCTAGAATGTTGGTGGGACTTTCCCCTGGCCACACCTGGTGATTTCCTGCCAGCCCCACCCCATCAGAGGGAGGAGAGGCAAGAACAGGCCCCAAGCTTGTTGCCGTGGCTGACAGATTCACCTGATAGTAGCGTGACAGCTAGAGGCCCTGAAGTGGCTTCTCACAGCAGGGCCAGCAGGGGCATCCCTTAGGGCTCCACACTCTGGCTTGTGTGTCACAGGTCTCCACCTGGCAAGAGCACAGGGGACCTGTACTTGCTGATCACCCAGGGCTTGGAGAGGACAGAAGCTCTTGCTTTCTCTAGCAAATCACTTAGCTGCTGCTGCAGGAGTCTCCTACCCTCTAGCAAGGTGACTCCTTTCACTGTGGCTGCTCCATCGGTCTAGAGCAGTGCTTTCTCCACTGTCCTAAGGCTGCCACCCTTTAATACAGTTCCTCATGTTGGGGTGACTCCGACCGTTAACATTTTGTTGTTATTTCATAACTGTATTTTGTTACTGTTATGAATTGTAATGTAAATCAGCTGACATACAGGACATCTGATATGTGAACCCCCAAAGGGGTCACAACCCACACATTGAGGACCACTGGTCTAGAAAGTTATCTGAATGACTTTCATGATCGGAGTACCCCTCTGGCCCCCCAGGGATACTGTTTTGGCCATTGAGGTTTACAGAATCACCTTGCCTATCCTGAAGGCTGCTCACTTTCCCTGACTAGCCTAATTAATCTCTTTTCCTCAGGGACTTTCACATCTTCTAACACAAGAATCAAGCCTAGCATCTCCCATGAAACAGGCCTGGTGTGCTCAGGGCAGAAAAGGAGAGGCCTATGCATCTTATCCCAGAGATGTGGGGTGCTGGACAAGGTGGTGAATGCAAGGAAATACATACTAAGGAAACAGTGGCTTTGTGGACCTCGACGGGACAGCAGGAAGGACTGTCAGGCTTGCTGGGTGCTCAGAGTTAGGCAGAAAAGGGGAACTAGTTCAAGCATAGGAAGCAGGGGCAGAGGTGCTGAAGCATGACAAGAGCATGGATAGTTCAGGGCCTTGTACTTGGGATGCTAGGGAGAACCAGCAAGGCAGAACTGCGCTGCTAACATGGTACTTTACCAACAGATTCTGGGAGGAAACTTCCTTGGTGTGGACAAAATAGAGGACTGTCCTGCCCACTGTATGGAAAGTTCAGGAGCCTGGAGAGAAGAGGATGCCCATATGGGGCCTTGCTACATCTTCCCAGGCCCAAGGAATCATAGAAGTAGTGGCAATACAATAGGGACCAGAGGTGTGTGTGTGTGTGTGTGTGTGTGTGTGTGTGTGTGTGTGTGTGAACTCTGGGAAAAAACCCTCATGTCTGCTGCTGATAGAGGCTGGTGTGGTAGAAAAGGCTGCTACATCTTCACCAAAGCCACCTCCTAAAAAGGACTTCTCATTTAACCTTTCTCATAGGATTGGTATAAAACAAAGAGATGACATACTTGGTTCATAGTGGGTTTGGAATAGGTATTATTTTGGGCAGAGTGGCACATCTGTGGTTCCAGCTTCCAGCAAGGCTGAAGCAGGCGGTTCATGTGAGCCTAGTAATTCAGAGTCAGCCTAAATAGGGCAACCAAGCTAGAGCTGGGAGTGTAGCTAAGTAGTAGTACAATTCAGCATGCATGAGGCTGAGATTCCATACCCATTAGTAGCTGCTGCAATCCCCTGCACACACATTGCTTTCCATTAACTTAAAAGTAGGAAAGAATCGTGGCAGGGAGGTATTTGTGTGTAGGCTTGTTTATAAGGCTGGGTACTGGCTGTACTTAGTCACAGAGGCTAAATGACAAAACCTCAGAGCCTACAGCTAATTGACACCTTCGCAAGTCAACTCTGACCAGGAGTTTTGGTGCAGGGGGACAAACACTACAGCCAGAACTAGTACTCTTGCTCTTCCCAAGCAATGGGAAAGGGGCTGTGGGTGCACTATCCAGGCCCCCAAGGGACCTGGTCCTTGTGCAATTATCTGTCACAGTCTAATCTGGAAGTGTGTTTCCTTAAGACCCCACCTTCAATTTAGCCGAACTGAAAGAAACAATTGAAAGTGAGTTCATTCCTCAACAGCCATTGCCTGTCTATGCCTACCCTGGTATCTGCTGTTCCTCCTGAGACAGGATCCTGTGTACCTTCTGCTGGCACTGCCACCTCCACTCGGGCTATGCAACTCAGCTGTCCCTCCAGACTGTCTCTCCCTGGGTCTGCCCGCAGAGCGAGCAAATGTGCCTCCATTCTGTCTGTCTGTAGAACAAACCCTGGTCCTTGACTCCTCTGGATGCTCCCAACTCTCGGAGCTGCTGGGTCTTCCTTCTCTGCCGCCTAGTCCACTCTAGTAAGATTTTATTTCCCATCTGCAGAAAAATCCTTTCCTTTTGTTTCCTTTTTTGAGGCAGGATCTCTCTATGTACCAAGAAGTCCCATCCCCAGCCCCTCACCCCCTTTTTTCTTTTGAGACAGGGTACCTCTAAATAGTCCTGGCTGCCCTGGAACTTGATAGGTACACCAGGATGACCACAAACTCACAGGATCTTCCTGTCTTTGCCTCCCAAGTGCTTGGATTAAAGGTGTGCTCCACCATGCCCAACAAAAAATGCTTCCTTTCACACCAGCCTTACCTCATCCCCATGTCACTGGCCATTTAGCAGTTGGTCCCTCCCTTTGTCAAGTGCTTCCTTTTCCCAGTTGCTGTGGTGTATTCCCTTTTGCCACCTAGGTGCTGGGCTAACTCCATCTTTTTTTTTTTTTTTTTGATCCTTCTTTACCAGATTTCCCCTTTCCATCTACACTTCACATCAGAAATCTCAGTTTGAATTCAACTCTTACATTTTCCCACTTGTGTATCTTTTGGTCGTCTCAGCATGGCCTGCCTAAGCAGAAATCTTCATTTTCCATGTTTGATTTCAGACCACAATGGCCTTCCCCCCTTTAAAAATGGGGTCTTATATTGCCAAAGTTGGCTTTAAGCTGTGATCTTCTTGCCTCAGCTAATGCGTATTTGGGACTACTGCACATGTCACATGTCACACAGCTCCAAAATGGCCTTTCTTGTCCAACCCAGCATCATTTCATTTATTTATTTTGCTTTTCTTATGTTGGGTAGGAAACAAGCTCTACTGCCTGTTTTTCCTGCTCAGCTCAGCGCTTGAATAGACAAAGTCGGTTATTAACTAATTGATTCTTTGCCACATGTAATATAGGGTTAGCTTCTGAGTCAAAGGAAACTTCCTGTCACTGTGGCAGCTCCAGTACTCAAGAGGCTCAAGCAGGAGGATGTGACTACACCATGAAATCCTTTCTCACCTACCTTCCTAGAAAAATGGGATCTATAAATGGATAATCCTAAATCCATACTCACCCGGTCTCTTGTTTTGGTTCCCATTCTGTTGAAATGCATTTATGTATTGACTGTTCACTGCTTCCATCAACATCCCATCAGAATACATATGGAAGAGGACCCCAAAGGCATGACCTTGGCTGTAGGATTCTCTAAAAGCATCTTTGGTGCTTTGCCCACAGCCTAAGAGCTGGCTCCATCTGAGCAACTCTGTGGTTCCAGGGATCTCTTCACATACTGCTGCCAGGGTGAGACCCTGGACCACAGGGTGGCAGAACAGTTTCAATTCTGACTTGCCTCAGGTAACAGTGCTGCATGAGCATCGTTAACAGAGAGAGAGAGAGAGAGAAGACAAGCTGGTAGAGCAAGAAGACACTAAATACCAGGGACATAGCAGACAAACAGGAAGGTGTCCGTGCTAGGGCTGGGGTAGGAACCCCTGTGTTACCACTGAACACAGGCAATGCCAATAAAAGGCTTGACTTATCCTCAGAGATATCTGGTATTATATTACACTCCCTAAAAACAAATGTTGGCCCCAGGCTTTGAAGAATTTATTCTAATTAGTTACCTCCGTTGGTATTTTGCTGCCTTTGATAACTAGGTATTTATTCATTACAAGTGTCCACATTGCACAAGACTTGTGCAAATGTAAGCCAGACCAAATCCCAGCACATGTGCCTGCCATGATATGTTACCTGAAGCCTTCATGTGGGCATGAAGTCTCACTCCTAGCAGAGGAGTTATTAGCAGTTGTGAGCAGCTGGAAAGGGAGGGTCAATGCTCTCTAAGAGTGTGTCCCCTGGTAAGAAGACTATGCTCCAGTAGAAGGTCACATATCCAAGACTATTTGGACAGCACAAATCAGCCTTGAAGGAGGGAGCAAAGCTGGGTGGGCATGGAAGGGGGGGGGTGAGTCTGGGAAGAACTAGAGGAGGATAAATAAGATCAAAACATGTTTCATGAAATTCTCAAAAAATTAAATATGTATGTATCTATGTATGCATACACACTTGTCCTTACTTTGGGGTAGGAAGGCAGCTTACAGTGTGAGAGGTTAAATAGCCCCACACAAAACATGAGCTGTGTGCATAATGGGACCAAGTACTAAGCTGTTGCTCATATACCATCAAGGAGGTAAGATAAGGACAACTGTGCTATTTTAAAAATTAAGCAACATCTTAAAAAATAATTCTGATGCTGGCTATGATGGTGCACATCTTTTGTCCTAGCATCTGGGAGGCAGAGGTAGGTGGATCTATGTGAGTTTGAGACCAGCCTGGTCTACAAAGCAAGTTCCAGGACAACTAGGGCTACATAGAGAAATGCTGTCTCAGCAAAAAAAAAAAAAAAGTTTTCAAGGGCATAGAGGGACACACTTTTAATCCCAGCACTCCGGATGTGGAGGCAGGTAGATCTCTGAGAATTTGAGACCAGCCCTGGTCTACAGAGTGAGTTTTGAGATGGCCAGGGCTAGAAGGGGAGACCCAGTCTCAAACAAGCAAACTATGTGTATGTGTAAGTGTATGTAGATGTACACCACAGACATATGCACTCTGCAGACTCAGCTTTCTCACTCAGAAGTGAAGCCTCCAAGAGACAAGTTTTGTGTTTCAGTACATGACTGGCTGACCTCATTGCTTTGGGCTTCAGGTAACATATCATGGCAGGCACATGTGGTAGTGCAATCAGCAATATTGTATGAACTCTACCCTCAAGCTCACTTTCTACCAAAGCACAAAGCATCTCTAAGGGAGAGGATGCATTCCTGTATCTTCCACCCCATCAGCAGCAAGGCATGTTGGTCAGAACTTCTTCCAGATACAGGGGATGGCCAAAGGCAGACTGACTCAGAGATGTAGCTGTGAAAGACAAAGAACCATTGGCAGGGGCTGGAGAGATGGCTTAGCAGTCAAAAGTACTGGCTGTTCCTGCACAGGACCGGGGTTCAGGTCTCAGCAGCCACATAGCGGCTCACAACTATCTGTAACCAGGGGATCTTATGCCCTCTTCTGACCTCTGTGGTACTGCACGCATGTACTGCACAGACAAACTTGAAGGCAAAACAGCCATACACACTAAGCACAAATGGTAAACCTTCAAATACAGAACCACCTGGCCACCCTTAGTCGTAGCTGGCAAAGTTTCCAACCAGCTTTATAGGTTTCAGTCTTTCAAGTGGGAAATCTGATCATAAAGACAGAAATGAACAGTCCTTATTAAAAACAAAAGGCAGGTTCTGTTAAGGACGTTCTTATGGCCACAGACTGTCAACAGTATGCTAGAAGACTTCCTACAAAACTCTGAGGTACCACACAGGGCCAAGTGGAGCCAATGGCACAGAGGGCAAGAGTAGCCAAGAGAAGCCAAGGTCACCTTGTTCCTCCTGTGGCCAGATGTGGGCTCTGTTAGCGCAGTTTTGACTCAGTTCTTTCAGGGAGTGGGGAAAGGGAGATGACCTGCAGCAGTGGAACCTAAAAACGTATTTTATTCTGAAGTTGTGCTTTGGATTTTTCCCCAATCCAACATCGGCTGAGTGAGTCTTAGGTTCACACAAAGCATCTTCAAGCATAGATACAATATTCCAGTTATCAACACCATTTTAAAGAACAGACCATTTTACACAAATGTGACATACAAATCAGACGCCACCACATTGCAGCTCCCTGGAAGATCTATGTTCTCTTCTGAACCGAAGTCCATGCACACCAGCCCTTCCAGTGGTCTGTTCATCCTGGTACTGGAGGATGTCTCATCTCCTTGGGGACAGACAAGGGTGGCCTGAGGGGGCTGGCAGAGACCAGCATTTCCAGTTTATAAGCTGCTGGTGGCAAATTCCTCTACTTTCCAAACTGGGATGCTGGCAGCCCCACCCCACTTTTCTTCCCCAAAGATTGAGTCCATACCAGGGAAAGGATCCATGCCACGAGGGGCAGAGCAGGGCTCTTGGAAGCATCATGCTGGTTTCGGGCAAGCCTATCTGAGGAAGGCTAGTCGCCCAAGGCCTTGAGTGGCCGGCTCCTTTTGGCTTTTGGGTGTAAAAATCACAGTGTGCAACCTCAATTCCAGTTGAAGTGAGCTCTGCTGAGGAGGACTCTCCTCCTATTGGTTCCTACTCCTTTTAGTAGGACCATCTCACAGGCGTCAAAAGCACCAGAGATAAGGAAGACAGTGAGGCTCCCAGAGTTGGGGTCAGTAGGGAACCACTTGTACACTGTCCAGTTCATTATGCAAATCAGCAGATGGACATCGACCAAAGGGATGACAAACACAAAAATGTACAGGACTAAAAGAGAAGGCAAGAACAAAAGAAGAGACCCACAGTATGGCCTTTAAGAAGCTCCACTTTTACCTTCTTAGAGAGTAGTGTCCTGGAGAGAGGATACAGGGCAGGCTGGAAGCGTCTATCACTTAGATCAAGAGGAATGTAAGGGCGGGAGATCATTTCAGCAAGGAAACAGATCCTTGGGTCTGAAAGTCCCCCTTGGCTCAGGAGCAGTACAAGCCCAGGTCATTAAAAAGAGCAGTGAGAACCAGGCAGGCCAAGGACCTAGGGGTGTCCCTTGCAGTCTGACTCACTCACCTCTCTAGTCTCCCTGGTGGTGCAAGTTACTCTTCTCATTCGTGACTCCTTCAGGCTTCCCATTTCCTTCACACAGAGAGAAACATCCACCGCCTTCTAAAGTTCCTACTACCAACTGCACATATTGGTCCAAAAGAATTTCTTCTAGCCCAAAGCTAAGAACATTCAGATTTTCCAACCTGAATGGAAACCTACCATCTCTTGAACTACAGAAAAACAATCAAGTTAAACAAAAGAAGAGCTTTCAAACCAGAAACCAGAGAAGAGTGAGCCTGAGCTTCAAGGAGCTGTTGGAGCACATGGGCTTGAACCATGACTTCCAAGCTCTGGTGCTCTTGGGGAAACATGAGGAGAGGAGTGGGTGTTCGAGCCCCAGGCTTGCAAGTTGGCTAGAGCATTCCATGGTAGCTCATTAGAAGCAGCCAAAGGCAGGTCCCACAGAAAGCATTCACTTTACTTTTTTAAGATTCTGGTTTTGGAAAAATAATTTGGACTTTGTAGGAGGGTCAAAGTTCTCTTAGTTGACCTTACTTGGGTAAGCAAACAAACAAAAAAACAATCTCAAAGTCCAGGGTCTCTAGATTGAATGAGGGTTTTCCAAGCCCCTGTCCATCTCCAGAGACAGCCTTATAAAAAAGTAAGCCAAGAGGTAAACTTGTAATAGTTTTAATCTGGGAACAATTTGTGGATGAGCAGAGAGCAACTTAAATTTCTTTAATAGGATAGTGAATTTTAAAAGTTTTAAATGCCAAAAAAGGTGGGAGGAAGAGGACCCATTTCCTACCCTTCTCAAACCTGCCATAAACACAATAAAACTTGAAGACTTTTTACTCTAAAGGAACTAGCTATAAAACTGTCTTATATTGGAAGACATCTTAAATGGAAAATGGTGTGTCAAAGACAAAGACAAGAACTGAAGAAAAGACTATATGTTCAGAAAAACCTTTAAAAGCTCCTTAATAAGACTGGGCTGTCCTTCTACAGAATGGAGCAGAGCAAATGAGAAAACCGGTGATCAGCCCACGGCAAGAGGAAGAAGACAATCCCCACCCCACATCAGATCACAGGACTGACCCATTCTGCTAAATTTCTATGAGGACAACAGAGACTCCTGGTGGCTTCTCTGTGAAATGCCACAACAAAGACCAGAGACCAGAAAAACCTCTGTGTATGCATGAGCGTGCATGCGCACAAATATATATTTATAGAAAATGAAAACTGGGCTATATGTGATTTTTCAAATTAGTACTCAAAACAAGATGCCACTGAAAGCTAGATGACTGCGACCAACCATCTGGTCAAGATATCCTCTATGGTACGAAGGGGCAGAGACATAGGCCCATGTCCCCATGTCTTGCCTTGGCAGATATCATAGCAACCTGATCATGGAAAACTTGTTTCTGGCTAACCTAAGAACAGTATGTACTGTAGCTGGCTGGATTACAACAGAGGAGAGCAAAGAGCAGAGGGAAGGGCCAGGAAGGGAAAGGAAGTAACAAGGGCTTCATTCTCAAGGATTGGATAATGGGAAGGCTAATTCCTGTAAGAACAACTTAGAATCTAATTTTCAACTGAAGTCTCCAAGCTAGTTAAATAGGAAGATTTTAATAACAGTCTCCTTGTCTAGAACAATTAAGTTATACCCCTCAGACAGTACAAGACTTGTCAGTGGACTGTGGGGAAGCTGATGAATTGACACCAGGGCTCGTGGCATTTGTTTTGGGGAAGACAGTTGGCTTGGGTCGTGTGGCTGGTGGTTTGACTGGAGCAGCCATCTTGACAGACTTGACAGGCCGGAAGGCGCAGGCAATGTCCCCAGCAGTACTGGCGCTGCGCTGGAAGGCAGGCTCAGGGTCCTTGAGGAGCTGAGTGTGCAGGGGGCTTGAGGGCTCAGATGTGGGGGCTACCACTGGGGAGGTCTTGAGGGGTTCCAAGGTGTCCAGGACCACATCAGGGGTGTGCTTAACACTGCTCTGCCGCTCTAGCTCTCGAAGCTCATTCAGGGCAGAGTTCATTGTTGCTTCAATATCCTGCAAAACAGGAAAAAGGAAGAAGTAAGTCAAACCAAGACAGATGTCCCTAAGGATCCATTTCAACCAAATAGGCCAAGCCATGAAACCAAATATAAAATGCCTTATTTTACTTGGCCAAAGTCCTTGAACATATGAATGTACAGAATGTGGAGAAAGGGGACAAAGAGACTTTCATCATCAGGAATTTAGAAAGAGTGATTGATGACTCTGGACATGACAAGGCTGCTGCACACATCAACTCATACCATTTGTGGTTACCCTCACAGATCAAGCCAGCCACAATTCCAGCAGAAACTGGGGAGGGACCCGAGGCCACACCTCTATCAGAGGAGCTACTGGCAGTTGATGGCTGCTGAGGAAGAGTCACTCACTTTGGGGATGGGGCTTCTGGTAGGTTGACCATGCCCCAGTAAGTGGCCCTAGACCTATGCATATATGGAAAGTATACAAACAAATATACTTCCCAAAAATATATAAATAAATAAATATATATGTTGAACTCAGGGAAGTATTTAAAAAGATAGTAACAAAAGGAAGACATGAGGTTGGGAGGAGGCATTAGGAGGAGTTGGAGGTAGTAGTGGATGACATGATCAAAATACATTGCATAAATATATTAAACTTAAAAACTAAGAAAAATATTAAAAAAGAAAAAGTAGCTGAGTATTTTCAACTTGAGCCCTTGGTTTTAGTGAGAGGTGCCGAAATGTCTCTGATGAAATGACATATAATTAAATGGAGGGGAAAGGTAACTAGCACACAGAAATTGATGATGTAATTCTCTGTGTTTCTGTGTATGTTTGAAAGTGCACACAGTGAACAAATTTTACAAAGTGGTAAAGATCAAATATAATCTTTATTTTCTTGATTTCAAGGCCAATGGTTAAAGGGACTATTCCTTCCTTCACAAGAGCTAAGGAAGGTTCAGGAACCAAGCAAGTCCTTGAATATTTATCAGGACAATGCTTCAATTTTCCAGCACATCCAAGTGTGCAACTAGAAACCATTTCCTGCTACCCCGCACCATGAAAGGTAACCCAAGAGTGGCCAAAAGGGGGAGCCAAAGCCCATATAGGTAAGTTAGCATCTACAAACCAGGAGGTACTGAAGATGTTAGTAAAAAAACGGTAGCCCTAGTCCAGAGGCTCAAGACAGAACCAAAGCACCTTTGTAGGCAAGCATCCAGTTAGAGTGCCCAGCTTCCATACCCTGCCTGAAAACTTGTGTTTAATACTGCGCCCCACAGCCACCACAGGACTCCTCTTTGGGATCAAGAATACTTTCAGAGATTCTAAGTTTCAAGTAAGCCCCAGGCTCCCCACTCAGGTTTCCTATCTGAGGCTTGTTATGTATGATAGTGACTCATTTTCATCAATAACTGTGGCATTTATTAGCCTTTCTTCCCCTCTCCTGCAATGCCAGGGATGGAACCCAGGAGTCTATACATGCTAGGCTAGCATTCTGAGCCTGCATCATGGAGCTACACTCGTGGGCTTCTCAAATCTTTTAGAATGCTCAGGAAGAACTCTGTTTCCTGGCTCTGTTCTGTAATGCAGGTAGTATGTTCACAGTGTCTAACACTTTGGTTAATGGCTGACCAAAAGAGGATCAAGGAGGATTCCCATGGTGTAAGGTAGATTGCTGTCAGGAACTTAAACAGGATAGAAGATGAGCAAAGCAAGACATCGCAGGCCCAGGGCTCACCACTGGACCTAACAGGTTTATCTCCATAAGCAGAGCACCAACGAAACCAACAGAGACAATACAGAGCCTCTATTGCCCTTTCCAGATCACCCTGGAAGAAGAGGCGAGGAAAAGGACAAAAACAAGCCCTGAGTTCCTACCTGTTCTAATGAAAATTATATAGCTGGGAGAGACGTCTGAGAGAACTGCTTGGAGTGGCCCCAGTAGTTGGATGTTTAGAGGTCGAGTTGGGTTTCTAATAGTTCATGGAAAACAGAGCCATCAATGTGGTGCAGATGAAAAGGAAGGTCCTGCAATCTGGGAGCTCATCTGCATTGTTACCTGGAACTTCGGGCTGGAAGCTTTCTAGTACCTGAGCTTCAAGCAACAAGAATACTTTGGGATCTTTAAGATAGAATCGGATGGTGGACTAATTACCTACAAGTATTAGAGATCAGCTTCATGAAATGGGGTGTCAGGGATGGACAGAGAAATAGGACCTGGCCTATATTTGAGTCTTAGCTTCACTAAAGTTGACTATTGTGTTTCTATCATCTATCTGTCTGTCTGTCTCCATCTGCCTACCTACCCATATATCTACCTATCTATCCATCTAATTTTTCATGTGTGTGTTCTATGTGCAGAGGCCAGAGGAAGATGTCAGGTATCCTCTTCTAGTGCTCTCTACCTTATTGTAGAGACTCTTACTAAATCTGAAGCTTGTTATTTTGGCTAGGCTGACTGGCTGTTCAGCAAGCTCTAGGAATCTGCCTGCCCTTAATCCCCAACTCTGAGATTACAGGCATAGAAGGTTAAACTAGTCTTTTATGTGGGTGCTGTGGATTTGAATTCAGCTCATCTTGCTTGTGTAGCAAGTGTTCTTACCTACTGGGTCATCTCCCCAGACTCTACCTTAGTGTCTTAACACATGAAACTTGAACTAATGGACCTTAATCAAAATATTCTTAACTGCTGTTTTTAAAAGTCAGCAGCTGGTAAACAGAATACGAATAAGAAGATAGGATTCTATTAATTCCCCTTTCGGGTTTTGTTGGGGAGACAAGGATAGGCAGACTGCTCAGTAAGCTGTCTTGGCAGGTTCACATGTATGGTACTTGCTACACCCTCTAAAGAACATACAGAGGATTGGGCTGTTTTAAGTTCTGTTGATTAGCTGGGGCTGCTCTGAGTGTAACTGATGAGTGCAGACTTCTTACTTATTGTCCAGGGCCCCTCAGTTACCTGTGCAATGACTTCGGGGTCCATGGGTCGATGGTTATTGAAGCTTTTTGACCTTCCTGCAGTGGCAGTCTTCCGGATCTGTGGACTGTCCAGCCGGTTCTTCAGGGATGAATGGCGGCTGATTGAGTTGAGGTTCCCATGGCCGCTGACGGAACACTTATCTGGCCCTTCCTTGGGGAGATTCTGGCTCATGATGGGCTGAGAGGATGGCCGGCAGCTAGCCCCCACCCCCGGGGAGGAGGAGTCAGTCAGAGAACTGCCCAGCCCATGGTTGTCACTCCGAAAAGCTTTTCTGATGCTCCCAGATTCTGGACGCTTCCTTTGCCTTCAACAAACAGAAATGGCATCTGATCAGGAAGCCCTGGGTCCAAGGGAGCTAGGATGGTGACAGAGGTGCAGAGGCTGGCACCTGGGACATCTAAAGAAAGTCACACAGAATACCCTATTTCTTCAGTTTTTCTTTCTCTTGTTTTCTCTATGGATCAGTTCCCTCCAACCCCCTACCTGGGCAAAGGTGAAATGGATACTTACTTGGTGGTTGTGAGCTTTGAGTTCTAAACATGTAAGATGCTGTCAGAAAAAAATTGCCTGTTCAAGAGAAAGTTTCTAATGGGATAAAGATTCATGAAAAGACCCACTCCATTGCCTGCCTAAACAGAAACCCAAGCCCCAGATGAGAAAGTTTCACCGTCACCAAGGAGGAGAGAACTGCTGGAAACAGGAGTTAACTTCCCCAAATTTCAGCTGTATTATAGCAAGCCTGTCAACATCTGAGCTCTGGCAAAAAGCTATTTCTTGTTCATAGAGATGGAAGAGATTTTTCAAGAAACTGCAGTGGCACAGAGGACTCACCATGTGCCTAATCTTAGGGTAGAAAGGGTACAACTCCTAAGTCACCCAGCCCTGGGCCAATTTATTTTATACCACAAAGGCTCTGAAATGACCCTGTGATGGGATGATTGTAGTTGGGTCCTAGCTATACGGGTACTGTTTACTACTGAGTAATTTTATTTTTTTTGAACCAGATTTTAAAGGACCTCAATTAAGATGTCATCAAGCTGCTAGTTCAGATAGCAGCTGTGTAGCTCTGATACTGAATCTACTGAGGAAGATGGGCTGAGCTGGGATCAGCATGGTAATGGCAGGGCTGCAGACTGGGGGCCATCTCTGAAGCACAGCTAATGTCTTAAGTCAGTTCTTGTGCTGCTTACAGCTGAGGTCTGCTTTATCTTTCTAGGGCCAGTAGGGTGTGGCCCAGCAGCCTCTCCATGAATGTGGCTGCTAGGCAGGTCCTAGCAGTGTGAGTCAGCCATTCTCAACCATAAAGAGGATGATCTTTAGTTTTGGAAGGCCCTGCTGCCATGAGCCGTCCTTTGTGAAGTTTTCCACGACACTAGTACCTTCAACTACAGACAGAAGAGATTCCTCCTTCACATCTTCCTTCGGTGCTTCCATACGCCAGCTTTTCAGTTACCTCCATATGGTCTTTTGCCTTGCCAGACTGTGAGCTCTCAACAGCTAGCACTGATGCTTGGCACAAAGCAGATGGTTAATATAGGATGTGGGATTAAATTCAAACGTCACACCCTAAGAACTCTGCTGATTTCCTTTTTCCACTCAAGAATGGCTGACTCACAGATCAGAACTGCTGAGAAGGCAGACTTAGGGGACTGTGGTAGTGCCATCCCAGGCTCTATCTGGGGCACAAAGACAAGGAAGACAGAATGCTGATTACAAGGAGCTCAGCCAGCTGAGACTAGAACAAAGTTCTCACCCAGGGCAGGAGTAGACTTCAGATGTGAATAATATTAAAAGGGCAGCGCGAGGAAGCAAGGAAGCTTCCTTTGGAGCACAGTCCAAGAGCTGAAGAACGGTTCTTTGAAAATGATGCTGAGAAGTGACTCCACAGTGGCCTGGAAGAGCTCAGTGAGGAATGTACATAGCAATCATTTTTCTCTTTCCAAAGATGTAATGGACTGTTTATATTTATGGGGGCATGTTCAATAAATGCAAGTACAGCCAAAAAAACAAAACAAGGAGCTCAGCCTGGAGGAGGAACCAGGCACAGCACCGAGTACCAACAACTCAAGCCATTTTGGAATGCAGAATGAGTGTATTATTTTCAACCTCAAGGAACTCAGGGTGTCAGGAAGGCTTACCCAAATAGGGAACATTTAGATCGAGTCTTGGAGGCTGAGGAGGAGTTAATCAGATGAGAGGGCCCAGGAGGAGAGAGTTCTCCAAGGCAATCAGGAAACTCAAGTTTCATGGGAGCACTGTTCTGGAGGCAGCTGGGAGGTGGAAAGGCAGACTCATACTGAGGCTGTCACTCATACATTGACTGGCTGGTGCCTGGGAAAGCTTGAACAGATCATGTTGACACGGTTTGATTATGCTCTGTCCCCAGGAAATTCATCGTAAGAATCTTAATACCACCAAGCAAGGAATTTAAGGAAACAACCTTGACTTTCTACCAGATGTTTTTAGCTTTTGTTCTCTGTAATTTCTTTGTAAAATGCTATCAAATATATGTTGACTTAAAATTTAATACCCAGGGATGAAGCTGCAGCTTGGCAGTAGAGTGCTCTGTCTGTATATGTGGCTTGTTGAGTTCTATCTCCAACACCATAAAAAACAAAAATAAAAGTGCCTAAATAAATATCTAACCTCCCCTCCACTTTTCAGTCTTGGTTTCTGGCTTAATAAGCTCATAGCCTTGTGCTTGCAGGCTCGTAATTAACGCAGATTTGTATATAATGAAAAAAATGTGATTAACGGCAGCTACTTTTTACTAGCCTGCCCTCCTAGCAGACTGGAGGGAAGTCTAAAATCCTCAACTTGTCTGCTGGTCTGGATTAAATTATGACTATACTGAGGAAGTGAGCTGAATAAACCAGATGAACTTGAGTGTGAAAGAGATAGGAAAGATCCATGTCCCCCAACCCCCTCTATTGTCTGGTTGGAAAAAAGCCAAGAGATCTGGCAACCTCATAGAGTTTAAAAACAATAAGCATCTTTTATTCTCCTTCCAGTCTCAGTGTCCAGAGGCTATGGTTAACAGGGTTTCAAAGTGCAAATCATTTCACCCCTCCAAAGTCGGAAGGAATACAAACTGTACGTCATCTCCAATCCATGTTCACCAGGAGTGCCTCGGGGCTTGTCATCCTCCTGGCACTGGGCCACAGTTCAGGGTCTGGCGGAAAGAGGTCTGTAGGACTTGGTGTCTGGCCCCTTGAGATGAGATTAGTTCTCCAATAGCCTGAGTGCCTCTTGGGGAGGCAGCAGCTCATGGGCGGGCGAACGAGGAATCCCTCTAGATAGCCAGCAGGTGTGGATGGAGTTAGAACCTCAGAATACTGCTAATGGCCACAATGAAAGCTGGGGTCAGAGTAAGCCTGCTGACAGGAGTGGGCATCTGCAGAGGGACTGCTAGGGAAGGATAATACACAGTGCTAAAGCAACAAGAAAAAATGAAAAGTGATTTCTGCTAGTGTGAAAAGGAGCAAAGGGTCACAGGATGGTTTAGGAGCTCAGGACAAAGCTTTCCTTGGGCTCAGTGCTCTTCCCTTTTCCATAGCCATGAATGTAGGATAGGAAGAACCAGATACATGACGTCTAAGTAAGCCCACCTGGTGGACAGTAGCCTGGTGGAAGACATATGAAATTCTGAATCTTCAGACAGACAAGGGTCAAAGAAGATACCAAATACTATTTGAATAAGAATTGGAAAAGTGAAGGCACTGATAAGAAATAGCACAAAACCAAGTTGCATAAGGTGGTCAAAGCTTTGATGAAGGTTTGGCTAAGACTGCCAGGAAGTCTGAGCAGACAGACACTGTGGAACAGACAGAGTACCACAGGATGACAACAGACAGCTGGAGGCTGGGCCTGCCCTCAGACCCACGTGAGCCTCCTCAGCCCCACCATCCACCTTGCAGCAGCAAACACATGGAGACTGTTAGGTTGGGGGAGCTGGGAGCCCTGCATTCAGCACAGGAGCAGGGTGGGTGTTAGGCCAGGGGTGAGGCTGAGTGAGTGAATCATTTAGGGGAGCAGAAAATGAAAAGCAGAGCTTACTTGTTGATGTTTGCAAGATAAATATCAGCTACATGACCCCCACTGGGACAGCTGGCCCCCGTTCTGGCTGTCACCTTTTCTTCAGGTGGCTCAGACATGACCTCAATCTCAGACTTGGGGCTGGACCTCTCCACGACACCATCCTCTCTGGGGCAGAAGGGACAGGTAGGTAGGGAAAAGGGAAAACAATAAAAAAGCAGTGTTAAATCAGCAAGATGCCCTCTCCCCCCCCCCACCCTGGGACATACAGACAACCCCACACAGCTTGAAGGCAGCAGCAACCCCTGGTGGGGCTAATTTTGTGAACAGGGGCAAGGAAACCTGAAGGCCTTTGGAGAGTTGTGTAAATAAAAATAAATAACCCACTGAGTTCTATTTGATCCTCAGCTCCTCAGGAAAACTTGGCTAGGGACACCTGGATTCAAGGCATCTCATGGGGTGGCCATGAGGGAACCACCTCCTGGAGAAGGAGGTGGAAGTCCAGGCTGTGTTTATCTGTGGTCCTGAGCACTGCTGGTAAGGACAGGAAGCTCTGGAGGGAGAGCCAGCATTGAGGCAGGATGTGGACACATGGCCACTGTTGTAGCACATCTAGCCTCGCTCAGAGTATCCAAGATGGTTCTAGGTTTCTCCACTGCTCTCCTTGCCCCTTTGGCTACTGATGACAAAGAAAGGCCCTTCTCCCCCACAATTCATCTTCTCTCAATCCGGTAGTGAAGATATAATGCTAAATTTGGGAGGGTTCTGTCCACGCACAGATTGCCACCAGCTTTGAGATGTTATTAACACAGGGAGGAATTCCCCGAAGAACGAGCCCAGGAGAGGCTGAGAGGGTGTAGACTCATTCAGGATATCAACCTTTAAAAAAATAATAGTAAGGGAAGGACTACAAACAGTGAGAATGCTGTATCCTAAAGACGTGCATGAGGGCAGAGTTAGGGCAAAGGGACAAGGAGGCAAGTTTGGGTAGGCTACAAGGTCTATTACTTCCTGCCTAGGAGACATTGCTTCAAAGAGTGGGAACCAACACAGCCTATCTGATAAGATCTCCAAAGTCCACTCTGGTTTCCCTGGTTCTCCGACATCCTTTTCCCTTTTTGCCTTACTTTTCTTTTTTCACCATGTTTTTTGATCCAGATTTCTCCTAAAAAGTAACCTGTCAATTTTCATTTGTAGGTGGAAATTACTATCAATGGCTTAGTAGGTTGGGGTTTAGGTAGTTTAAAAAGAAGCCAAGTCTGGTGGCTCATGCCTGTAAGCTTAGCATGGGGGAGGCTACGGCAGTAGGACTGCTGTGAGTCATATATAGTGAGCTTAAGGCAGCCTAGGTTACAGGTGAGACTATTGGCTGGTCTTATGTCAACTTGACACAAGCTAGAAGGAGGGAACCTCAACTGAGCCAAAAAGATCCTACTGGAGGGCATTTTCTTAATTAGTGACTGATTGGTGAGGGCCCAGTTCACTGTGGGTGGTGCTATCCATCGGATGTTGGTCTTGAATTCTGTAAGAAAGGCTGAGCAAGCCATTAGGAGTAAGCCAGTAAGCAGCACTCCTTCATGGCCTCTACATCAGCTCCTACCTCCAGGTTCCAGCCCTGTTTCCCATTCTGACTTTCTTAGTGATGGAAGTGTAAGGCAAATAATCCCCCCTTTCCCCAAGTTGTTTCATCATAGCAATCATAACCCCAACTAAGACAGAGACCTTCTCTCAAAAAACAAAAATGCACACATGGAAGACAGAGAAGGCAGTGTGATGGTGGCGTATGCCCTTAATCCCAGCACTTAGGAGGCAGAAGCATGTGGATCTCTGTGAGTTTGAGGCCAGCCTGGTCTACAGAGTGAGTTCCAGGAATGGCTTCAAAAGCTGCGGAGAAACCCTGTCTCATGAAACCAAAAAACCAAAGAAGCAAAAAACATGACCTTTCCAGAAAGGAAATAGGCATGGTCAAATTAAAAAGTCCACACTACCACTCATAAGACAGAAATATAAATACTGACAGGTACATTTCTAAAGCAAATGAATTAAGGAGCAATTTAAAGGGAGGAGAGAAAGTGAGGAGACTGAGTTGCCGGGGTAAGGTGTTCTCCATGGAACTTTAAGCCTGCGAACCGTTTTGGGAATTAGTCTCCCTCATGCTCCTATAGTTCCAGAATTGAAGTCTCACTCCCACAGTGCATTAGAGACCACCCTCAAAGGTGCCAGGGTTCCACTTACGTGTCTTGGACTACGATGTATTGATGGGGGATGAGTCCGTCTATACCATTGTGCCGGCCTTCCCACCAATCATCAGAAGCTCGCTGGTAAAGCAGCAGAGATGCTCCCTTCTTGAAAGATAGCTCCCGGGCTGTCCGGCCTACGTAGTCAAACTTAGCAATGGCCTCAATGGGCTCACATTCTGGGAAAGGCAGAAAAGAATGAAACATATGTTTCTGGGACCTACAGATGCAGGAAACTGGATGAAAAAGCCTAATGAGCTGGACTTACAGTGGTGGGAGGATAACTCTCACAGCCTGGCATTCTCTCCTGTCTAGCCCCCTCTTGGATGAAAAAGCCTAATGAGCTGGACTTACAGTGGTGGGAGGATAACTCTCACAGCCTGGCATTCTCTCCTGTCTAGCCCCCTCTTCTGCCAGGGGTAACAACCCATGGAGACACTGCTTCCCTGATAACTTCTTTGTTGATTTCACAGTCCTCTTTGCCAATTCCATCTATCATCCAACTTGTCATTCTGCATTTTTCCTTTCTTTTAGGCAGTGCCGTGAATTGAGTTCAGGGCTTTAGATGTGGGTGTTCAAAGAAAAGTGATTTACCACTGAACTCTATATCAAGCCCATCACACTGCATTTTTGAGCATTATTTCTCTTCTGATCATTTAGTAATCTATCAGCCATCTAACACTTGAATCATACCATATTTTAAGTAATTTATTTGTGTTATTCATTCATCCCAGTAGAATGTAAAACATGGAAAGTGGTTTGTAACGCATTTATGGAAAATGCAAATGAAAACAATTAGAAAAGTTAAAGGGGGCTTGTAAGTGCAATGTGTTTTTACTTCCATGTGGGCCTTTCTTTCCTTATCTACAAAATGAGATGACAGGAATAGTGCTCTTTTTCATGAAGTTGGTTATGGGGAGTCAATTACAATCTGTGACACATGCACACTTAGGCACTGCTGTCGTCATGTCTCTGTTTTCAACTGCAGGAGAGACTAGATAGTAAACAGAAGGTGCTCTAAGATATAGACCATTATATCATAAATATCACTGCAGGGAGGAAGGCTGATTAAAAATAAACCCATGCCCACAAAGCTCTGGGTGGAAAATTTGCTCCTAAATGGGCTGGCTGAAGATTCCACTGCAGAACTCCTGTCTTAGTAGTCCAGTCTCAGTTTTCTACAGCCCTGGGCACATCCCTTGACTCTTGCTTTTTCAGCTGCCCCATTTATCTTACTAGAGATAAAACCTCTAAGAGTATGAGAACAAGGCAGTTCTGAATACTGAATTCTCTAGTAATACTTTTGTCTCTCATAAAGATCATACTGATCCTTCTAACACCAGGATCTAAACAAGAAGTTCTATCTCTCCTTTAAAAGCTTCAAATCCTTCAAATACTACAGTATTTCTAAAGGCGGCGGCGGCGGGGGGGGGGGGGGGAGTCAAGGTTCTGTAGATTGTCCCATAAAATTCTGAGGCCCCTTGTCAACTGTTGAGACTTCCAGAGACCAAGTGATCCAGAATGGCTGGAAGCAGGGGAAACGTGCTGGCTGGCAGACTCTAATAAATCATGGGCACTCCAGAGGGGTTGGAGGATGACAGCTGAGCATTCCACCCCTGGATGCACACTCACAGGCTGTTCAGCACACACAAATCTATACTTTGGAAGGGGTCAATTTTTCCAGTTGGCAGGCATGCAAGTGTGTGGTTTCTGTGTCCTCATTCTCACTCCCCTTACTTGGCTTTTGTTGAATTCTTGGCACCTAGCATCTCTATTCCCCAGGCTTGATGTTTTTTAAATGAGCTTTCCTTTGCTTTGGTTTCCAGTAACCTGGCAGCATTAGGGGCTTCTATCTACTGGACTCATGCTAGATAGGGAATTAAGAGGAGTCCTTCAGCAAAGAAGCTGAAGGACTACAAAAGGTCTAGCTATTCTCCTCTGATTTAATCTCTTCTGTGAGAATGTCCCTCCAAGGAAAGGAGAGATAAGAAACTCCTTTCTTCTCCTTAGGTCCTCTGGACAGCAGAGTTCATTGGCTGCAGAAGACGCAATCATCTCTGCTCTCCTAAGAGCCATAGCATACCATCCTCACTCGTGTGGTGCTCTGCTGTCACATCCTGGGCGCAGTCTTCAGCAGAGGTAGTCTCTCCGTGAGTGCTGTCACTGCAAAAGAAGAATAACTGGGACATCAGTGTTTGCTCCTAAAGTTTTCTTCTTCCTCTTGGCACAGCCTCCTTGGTACATCACAACAGCTGTGGGTTAGCTATACTCTAAGTCCACAGCTATCAATTGCTAAGAATAAAGGCTCTCTGGAGGTTCTGCTCCTCAACCACTTGTCACTGCTTGGGACTTAAAGTGCCTTGAGAGAAAGGGAAGGCCTTTGAAGTCACAAATAAACTCTTCGGAACACACAGAACAACTCAATCACTCAGGTCAATTCTCTTCTTGAATCCATTCCTGGTTCTTAAGGAGGGAGCATGGCAAAAGGGAAGTCCTGGTATGTATGTATTTATGATCAGGAACAACTGGACCTGAAAACTGACTTTGATGTTTGATAGCTGTTTAGTTGTGTTTTGTTTTTATTGTTTTTTAATAGACAGTTGTGTGAGGAGTCATTGGTGTAATGCAGCCAAGACTTTGGCATGAGGGCGCTTAGTAAGTAAGTGTTCCTCCTTTCAGCTTCCTTTTAGGGTGCTGCGTGACTTATTAGCCTGTGCACTGATGAGAAAGTAGGAAGTGAGTAGCGGCTGAATGGAAACCAAGAGCAAAGATAAAAGGTTCTGTTGTAGATTATATTTTACTAAAGGCCAGGGGATGAAAGCTCAGCCAAGTTCTTAAAAAATTATCTTCTCTTAAATCATCCCAGGTAGAGTTGAGAACAGATACAAGTTACTAAGTAAGTATTTCTTCTCTTATCCTCAGGGAAGAGATGGATGTTCTTCAAGATCAGGAATAACCCTGTCTGAAGTTTTCTCCTCTGGCAATAGGTGCCAACAACAAATCCTTCCGGGCATGTCTATGAACGTCACACTCCACTGCCTCCTGCCATGAAACTTCTCTCCACCCAGGACACAAGCCTTTCCCTCTAGGCAGCTCCTTAGAGCCAAGTAAAGCCAGTCCTAGGAGGGCTCTTAAGCTTCAGAGAATACTCTGGTAGAACATCAATAGGGATTCTTCTTTGTTTTAAAAAAAGTGGGTATTTCTTCACTGTTTTCTGGGCCTAAAAACCCACGGGTTTGGTGGCATTCTGGAAATGCATCAGTGGTACCCAGGGCAAAGGTTCATTCCTGTACATCCACTAAGGCATCAGAGCATTAGTTCTCACACTGCAGGGAGCCCTGGAGGGCTTGTTAAAAAATCATATATTATCCCACCCTGAGCTTTTCTGAGTCACAAGATCTGTCTGGGGTTGGAGCATCTGATTTTCACTTTGATACCATAGGATCTGGTGCTGTTGGTTTGGGCTTTCCACTTTGAAATCAGCACCATGGTATGATACTTTTTGAGGCTCCATGTAGTCCTAAAATCCCACGGTTCTCCCCTCCTACACCTCTGGCCCTGACAACAAGCCCAACCCTATCAATACCCAAGGTCCAAGGTTCCAGCAGCAGTCTCAGGCAACCAGAATCCAGTTTGGAGACTAAGTGCAGAAATGGACTTTGCCTTGTGCCTCTTCTCTCTGATGGTTCTGGTCATTTGGCTACTCTCCTGGATTTTAGGGGCTTATCTTTTCACTGCCTTAGCTCCCTGTGGCAGTATCTCTCTTTTTTCCTAAATAAGAGGTCAGGAACAAGGTCACTGACAACTGCCCCTTGTTGCCTCTGGCCCAAGGCCTGGGACAGTGGCACAAATGTTCCCTGACTATCTGTGCAGTATATTCCAACAAATATCACATATGTAACACATGGGGTAAGGGCTGAGGAAACACCTGGGAGGAATCTAGAAGAAAGAGCTTTCATGTGTGCATCCTGGTAAAGCACATTGCTTGGTCTCTGGTCCCTGGGTAGGGACTGGGTATCAGGGAGCTGGAGTACTATGCCCCTTCATTGGTCCAGAACCTGCAGTGATTTGACATTTAAGAAGTGAAGGCCAGCCAGGCGGGTGGCACACACACACCTTTAATCGCAGCACTTGGGAGGCAGAGGCAGGCAGATCTCTGTGAATTCAAGGAGAGCCTGGTCTACAGAGTGAGTGCTAGGACAGGCTCTAAGGCTATAGAGAAACCCTGTCTTGAAGAACCAAAAAAAAAAAAAAAAAAAAAAAAAAAAAAAAAAAAAAAAAAAAAAAAAAAAAAAAAGAAAAAAAAAAGAAAAAAGAAAAAAGAAGAAGAAGAAGCAGCAGCAGCAGCGAAGGCCAACTTTACAGGTAAAGGCAAAAACCGAAGGCACTACTTCCCAGTTCTTAACTACTTGTGCAGGAGCTCACCTGATGAGCCTACAGCCCTGGTCACCATGGACCACCTGCCAGTGACAGAAAGCTTTGCCTCTAAGCCAGCTACCTGGGGTGCCTGCTCAGATGCATAGCTAGGATCAGAAGTCGAGGAGAGAGTGGATCCATGGATGCCACTGCCATAGGAAGTTCACAGAGCTACCAATGTTATTTCTCCACTCCTTGGGCAACGGTTCTGAGGGGGTCATGGAGAACCATGAACCAAGTGGCGACTAATTAAGTAAACACATGCCTTGTCCTTTCCTACCATGGTTGATAGCAATGAGGCTGGAAGGATTGGTTTCAGACGCTAAATTTAGATGGAATCTGATTTCAGCTGGCTTATGTCTTCAACTTCTATTGAAAAACCAATTAGGAAAGAAGGGAAGGGGCATGGGACACCAGGGTTAAGAGAAAGGTCACTGCCTCTGTATCTGGTTGAAATGGCACTGTAAAGCGGTATTACAGTATCTGTGTGGGTGCTGGATGGAGCTTTATCCTAGAAGATAGGTGGCCAGGGTTGGCTTCCCAATTACTGGGGTGTGTTGAAACATTGCACTGGCCTCTCTGGGTTGCAAGGAGTTTACCTATAAAAGGGAAGTATTATTCCACTTTTTGGAAATATTTGTTCATCTAAAAGAGGTAGTCTAACACAAATGTACCCAGAGATTCTTTTCAGAATTCTGTTCTCAGGCTAGGTCATGGAAAACCTTGTCTACCCAATCTTGTACTTTTCTAGGGGATGGAACTGTATCTAACCACCCCAAATATATTTACACTTTTTCTCATCACAATTCTCTGAAAGCATTTTGTTGTGCCATCTTACAAACTCAGTCAGGAGACTGTGCCTCACATACAGACTCCTCCTCCTAAGAACAGTATTTCCTGGGGCCCAGCTCTGTCTCCATCACAACACACAGCTTGGGCACTGTGGCTTGAAGAACAGCAGGTCTAAAGACCACTTTGTAAACTCTCCAATCCCTGATGTTGTCATTATCTTTCAGGATGGTCCCTAGTTATCCAACACTCAAAAAAAAAAAAAAAAAAAAATAGGAAGTGGGTGAAGAGACACTCATTTTGTAGGTGTGTCCAAGATGGGAAAATGGCCAGAACCTGCCACCTGCAGAACCTGTAAGTGGAGGAGGGAGAACCTGGCTGTTTCCTTCTGGGTTTTGCTTGACCATCTGGCCCCTATACCAGTTATTATCAGGCATTCCCTCCCTTTTTCCCCTCCCTGGCCCCTACCAGTAATCCTCCATGCTTCCTCCTCTGCTGTAGATGGGGCCCTCCAGCTCCCTGGGACTTGGGAAGATGTTCTCATGTTGGATGATGATGGTTTTAATCAGTTCATTCACGTGTGCTTGACAGGACACCTGGTCGTGGCCCTCTGGCACTGACATCAGTGAGGGCCCAAAGCAGATGGCAAGGTTGTAGGGGTCCATCATGTTCTCGTCACTGAACTGTGATAAGCTGGAGGAAAAGGGGAAGCGGGGATTGGAAAGCTCACATGAATGCCCAGAAAACACAAACATAAGAGACATTGCCAGAAGGAAAGTCGTAAGTCCACAAACTGCCACCTGCCTTTCTGGGCATCAGAGACCTTCTGGAGAGTCAGGTGACAAGAAGGGAATGACTGCTGACAGCTATTCAGGAGCCCAGGAGAGGAAAGACGTATGACTTGCTTGCAAGTCTGACTCCTTTTCTCCAGTTCCCCAATCAAATCCATATGAATCTCATTTTTGCCCTTACCTTTGACCTTAGGCATCAGAGTCACCCTGCATTGATTGAGAACATACCATATAACTCCTCAGAACTGGATATGGTTCTCACAGGCTACTCCCTAAACTACCAAGCAGATGGGGACCTCAGCTTGCTTTGGGAAACAGTCACAGGAACAGGAACTGTACACCATATGCTTTCATGCATACAAAAGAATCAACTTACTGGGTATTTCTATTCCAAATTTTATATTTAACCAGAAATGTAGTCAGCTGATTAACTTTTTATTCCACCAAGACAGTGAATTCTTTTTAGAGCAGCTAATGTAATACTGTTTAATATTTTTATAATATCCCCTTGTATTATTATATCCAGGAATTAATTATGCATTCTGTTTATATTCTGCTTGGGGTTCCCTTGGATGTAGGCTAATTTCATTACTGTGTATTTACTTAGAGATTCTTCCCATTCTCAACCAGCAGCTGCTCCAGTCATAACCCAACCTTGGTCATGGACCCAAGCCCTCAACCATCACTACTTTTGCTGAGTCCCCATGGGTCTATGCCTGTGGTGGTCTAAATAAGGATGGTCCAAAGGCTCATATATTTGGATGTTTAGTCATTAGGGAGTGACACTATTTGGGAGGGATTAGGAGGTGTGGCCTTGTTGGAGGAAATGTTCACTGGGGACCAGCTTTCAGGTTTCAAAAGCCCAAGCCAGGTTCAGTGTCTCTCTCTTCCTGCTGCCTGTGGATCCAGATGTAGACCTCTCAGCTACTTCTATTATGTCTACCTTTATGCCACCACTTTCCCCACCACAATGAAGACAATGTAGACTAAACCTCTGAAACTGTAAGCCCTAATTAAACGCTTCACTTTATTAGAGTTGCCATGGTCAAATACTGACCAAGATGCTGTCTGTCCTAGCACAGAAAGCTGGGCTGACTTTGGGCACATCCTCTATAAAGCTTGAGGGGCCTATAGACATTGCTGAGGAGCTTGGCCTTCCTATGGTCACCAGCAGTAGCCTCTCAGTCCAATTCTGACAGATGCTGAAAAGAAACTAGAGCCTTTGGATACCACTGCCATTCTGGATTGGATGAAGTATATTTCTAGTGTGCCCCACATCCAGACTCATGCTGCAAAGCTGGTTTTCCTCTAACAAATGGATTTCTTCTGTTGGAGAATCTGACACGTACCTTGTGATCCTTCTATGATCACTGTAGGACATCAGAAATGGCATGGCATGGTGTGAACAACTGCCATGGAAAACACCAGTGGAGAAGCACCATCCCACAGTATCAAAACTAACTGCAGGAGAGACCAGTGGGGAAGGGTATCATCTCAGTGGCTAGATGGCTTCATAGGAGATGATTTGTTTTTGCTTAAGGCAGGGATTCATTATGTACCCCAGTCTGGCCTCAAACTCTTTGCCTTCCTGCCTCAGCTTTCTAAATGCTGGTATCACAGCCTTGTACCATCACATCCAACTGATAGGAATTATTAGAGATTTAATTTTAAAATTCTTCTCTGGACATAGAGTTAAAAGAAAATAGAGGTTTAGAAAAGATTGGGTAGATATATAAGTCTGCTTCATCATCAGATTAAAACTGGGGAGAAACAGGAGAGATTACTACTTTGATAACCTCAGCAGAAATGACCCATACATGAGGTGCCACAGGCTAAAACTGCAGCTATCCAGGTCCTGGTATCTTGGAGACAGAAAGCTCAGTAAAGCCTTCTTTCTTTAGTCTGATCTGATAGTGTTTTAACAACAACAAGAAACCAGAGTTTCTGGGAAGTGTGATAGTCAAAGAGAAGCACTCTATTCCCAAGATACCAGGGTGAAAGTTCTACAACAGATGAAGGATGTAAAATACCCTGTTCCCACCCACAAAAGACTGTTCTATTCATAGGAGGCTACAGTGACAAGGACCCGGAAGAGGACATATCTTTGTGAACTGTAGTCTTATGAATCTATGTCCAGTTTGCGATTCCCATTAAAAGTGAAACCAAAAGGACCAAGAACCTTGTGATTGCTTATCTTGGTTGTCAACTTGACTTGCCTAGGAAGAAGAAACCTCAACTGAAAAACTCCTCCCATCAGATTGGCCTGTGAGCATATTATTCTTGATTATTATTGATGCAGGGGGCTCAGCCCATTGTATGCAGGTGAACCTGGACTGTGTAAGAAAATGTAGCTATACATGGGAGCAAGTCAGTAACCACCTTTCTTCTGTGGTTTCTGCTTCAAAGTCCTGCCCTACACATATACACACAGGTAATTCAGAATCTGTTGCATACCTGTCAAAAATGCTGTCATCAAGAAAATAACTGACAATAAATGTTGGTGAAGATGTTGGGAAAGAGGAACCCTTACTTAAGACTGTAGAAATGTAAACTGGTGCAATCTCTATGGAAATCAGAATGCAGGTGCTGCAAGTACTAAAAATAGAACGTGACTTAGCTTAAACACTCTTGAGTATATTCCTGAAGGACTCTACATCAACATGTTACAGATACAGTTGCATTCCCATGTTTACTGGTGCACCATTCATAGTAGCCAAGGTATGACACTAGCCTAGCAATAAGTCTATCAACGGATGAACTGATAAACAATATGTGGTACCTGTATTTTATTCAGGTATAAAGAAAAACGGAATTATAACATTGGCAGGAAAATGGACAGGACCAAAAATTATTGTGTGTGTGTGATGTGATGTGAAAACAGAAAAGGGACTGGGAGAGAAGAGAAGATCTACAGGGAGGGGAAGGGAAAAAAGGAAGGGTAGTGGAATATATGTAACATGAAAGCAGAACTAGGCACTTTTTAGAAGAGGAAGAGGACTGGCCAGAAAAGGTGGGGGCATGGGGAGTAAATAGGAACAAAGTAAAATGTATATATGCATAATGATATAAGACTTTGGACTCACCAAAATCTTATAGCATAATGAAACCCATCACTTTGTACTCTAAATAAAAATAATAATAAATAAAAGTATACAATTTGGTGGCATTGAGCATAGTCACAGTGTTGTGTAACCAACCATTACCTCTAAGTTGTGCAACATTTTCACCATCCCTGAAAGAAACCTGGTATTCACTAACACTTCATTTCCTGGCTAAACAATATTCTACTGTATGAATAAAGCACATTTTGTGAGTTTAGAGGCAGAAATTCTCCAAACTGCACATTCAGATGAGCTCCATAGCCCTAACACAAGGTCTTCGCAACAATGTGAGATTCTGGACTAGAGTCCACTAAGCTGCATCTTAAGTGCCAACCTATAGCTATCATTAGCTTGGTGACTTGAGATTCAGTATGTGTACAGTCCAGGATTAAACTTCAGTGAGGATTCAAGTGTGGGTTCAGGTAAAGTCTCCATGAGGAACCACCTGCCAACTCCTGATGCAACTGTTGGCAGCTGCACACTACTCAGCTATCATCTTCCCATGGAGACTTTAAAATTTGTGTCTACGTGCTACTATTTTCCAAATCACTGTGATTATAAATGCTTCACCTCTTCCATACAACACCTTGTTGACCAGTATATTTTAAAAACTATATATACAACAATGTTTTAAAACTATACATATACAAACAAATTAATACTTGGAATTAATGCCATTTCCATACTTTTTTCCTAATAATGGCCATTGTCTCTTTTACTGCATCAAGTTTATTCTATTGTTTCTCTCTCCTGAAAGTCTAGGAGAGACAACAGTTAATCTGTCTTCCCTGTGACCTGGGCACTGAGGGGACTGACTAACCCTAGAGTAGTGAGCAGTGTTTCCAGGCTATGAATGAGCACACTGGTGAGTTATGAGGAGCTCATCTCAAGGACAGATGGGGTGCTGAGTTAGGACTCTGTTGGACTCAACTTTGAGGAAGATGCACACTACAAATTCAGGGTTCTTTGAAGTTGTGTATTGGGATAGATGATAATGTGGGCTTCCTAATAAGGTCTTAGGCAGGAGCTAGTAATCCCAGATACCTGTAAGTCCGGGCTGATCATGACTGTCTAAACAGGATAGACTTGTAAAATGGACTCTAAAGTTGTCGTCATTTTAAACAAATATTAACTATGTGTGAGGACTTCATATTCACAAGGTATGTGCTAAAACTAAAACATTCTGGCCCTTTGGTTTATCTTTTGTTTCCCTGTTTTAATGGATTCAGGAGTCCACAGAACTATATCTTGGCTCTATGAAAACTCAGAACCAGCATGATGATAGGTGACGACATGGACAGGGCTGGGGACCATGGTAAGATATGCCTGTTCCACCCAGTGTTCAAAGTATATCCTACACCTGACCTTTTCTGTCATCTTCTGGTCTAACAACACCTCGGCTAGACCATGCCATGGCCTTGAAGTAGGTCTCTTTTCTCTCTGACCTTCTAAAGTAAAAACTTCTCTATAAAGTAACTGGCAGGTTTGAAAATTCATTCCTAAATGTCATATCATACCACTTTTCTCTTTAAAGACTTTTAAGTCATTTCCCAAATTCAAACTTACTATTTATTACTGTGACTCTCAAGTCTTCAGTGTTCTTATAGCCCCCCCCCTTTCTCTCCCTCTAGGCTACTTCTTATACCTGGTCTTCTCAGAAAGGCCTTTGTGGCAAACACATCCCTAAGCCAGCCCTTCTTTAATCCTTTGTCTATTAGAACCTCTGAACTCTATCCCCATCTTTACTCTTCTTAGCACCTATTCTAACTGATCTATCTACTATTGTCTGTTTCCTCACTTAGACCATGATCTAATGATAAAATGCTTCTCTTTTTCCATTGAACATCGTATTTTTAATAGCCTAGCATTGTAGTTGGTGTACGGCAGATGCTCACTAAGTGTCTGTTAGGGTGGGTTATAAGACATAGATCCATATGAAAGTCCTGGGTAGTCAAAGCTAGGTTTTTTACTGTGAAGGCTACTCACTGATTGAGGAAGGCAAAGAGGTATCTCATGATAATCAGAGTGGGTTTGGGCAGGACCAGGACTTTGCGGATATGCACAGCTCTCTCTTGCAGGTTGTCCATTGCTGAAACAAGAAAGGCATGTGTTACCTCCAGCATGACTGCAATCCTGAAGAACCATCAGAAGCTTCTCTCTACCAGCAGTGTAATTCACAGAGCAAGCAGAGCCAGCCCTATACAGCCCTGGTAGAGTGACAGGAGTTTCATCTTGGATGCTCTGTGGGGTGAGGTTGCTGCAAGAGACCACATGTTGGGACCCACAGCCTGACTGGTACAGGACTCAAGGTGTATACTCCACGGGCACAGACTAGGTTGATACATTCCTCCTCTAATAGAAACAGCAATAGACATAGAGTTGACCTTAATCCTGTCATGACGACTGAATGTTCAGTCCTGAAGGGTCCCACACATGAGAAGGGACAGAGGCTGTGTAAGTCCTTCCTTGACCCCTGTACACACAGTTAACTTTTCCTCCCCTGAATAAATCTGGCTTCTACCTCCCTTATCTAAAGTAGAGATGAGCAGAGTCTGACCAGAGAGAGGAGAAAGTAGGATCTTGGATAAGTAGTAAAATCTGTGAGGAAGACTAGAGAAGATTCCTGACTTTTGTGCTATGGTCAGGTTAGTACAGATTTGGCTATCTGCCTGTGGCCTCTGGTTATGAACAGCCTCTGACTTAAACAGTGTACCAAAATGGACTTGATCTGGCTGTCTTTTATGAATAGCAAATATTGGATTAGGAACAATAATAATAAGAATTGGGCAGCTGAGGATTCTGGTGTGTCTTGGCAACTCCAGCCCTATGTAAAAGACTTCACTTAAGTCCAGTCTAGGAAAAGACATAAGTATATGACCCAAGTAATATATGAATGTAACTGTCTACATAACTCTTTTCTATTACTCTCAAAAAATGGGCAACAAACAAAGAGAAGTAGTATCCCAGATACACAGGCTTTTCTCTGAACAACCGAGAGAGGAACAAGTAAGTATTCAGACAGAATACTGGGCCAAATGAAAAAAACAGGAGGCATGAAGACCTTGTTTACCTGGAAAAACCTTCTGAATTTATTCTTTTCACTTTCTGTGGCCATCATTCAGATGGGTCTATGTAGTGCTATCTTTATGTCAACTTGACACTAGCTAGGGTCATTTGGGAAGAGGGGACCTCAATTAAGAAAATGCCCCTACCAGATTAGCCTGTGGGTAAGCTTCTGGTATGTGTTCTTGATTAAAGTGTGACTGCCCAGTTCACTGCGGGTGCTGGTGGTCTCAGGTGCTATAAGAAAGCAAGCTGAGCAAACCGCGGGGATCAAGCCAGTAAGTAGCACTCCTTCATGGCCTCTGCATCAGTCCCTGCCTCCAGGTTCCTGACATTTGAGTTCCTGTCCTGACTTCCCTTAGTGACAGAAGTGTTAATATGTAATCAACCCTTTCCTCCTCAAGTTGCTTTTGATCATTTTTTAAATCACAGCAATAGAAACCCTAAACAGAATAATCTACTTCCTGAATAACTTGATATTAATTTAAATTTCCATGGATTGCTTTCCATGGAATCAACTGATAAGATGTTTCAGTATTATGAACTAAACTAAAGTCTAGGAATAGTTTTTCAAGACCCAGAAGAGAACTCTAAAGAATACAGTGATCTTTCTCTGGGAAAAAAATTAAATGGCACTTTTAAGTGCACAGAGGGGCTTTTGTTTTCAGACACATGTGAATGTATGTAGCAGGTTAAGCCAAGACACATACATAGCAACAATTAGGGAGCAGGGTCACTGTTTATGTTTCTCTGCTCCTATTAGTAGCACAGATATTGTATATAAGCTTTAAGATGGAGGAATATAAAAACATTTTACTAAAAACAATAAACCTAGAGATGTGAAGGAGTTAATGTCTGAGAATAATTAGAAAGGAAAAAGTTAGGAATCTTGACTTGGATTCTATACTATTACTGTTAAATCATCCTTTCTTTCCCCCTTTAAGGAAAAAACAGTAGAGATAAAGAGATAGAACTCTCGGGCAGAAATAAAGAAAGAAAAACTTTACTGAATAGCTTATGAGGATGCAAAGTGATGGAAATTTCCAAATATCTTGCTGCCATTCGTGGGGTGTAATACTTACTGACGCAGGCAATCAAGTCATGGAAGATGTCCTTGGGAAAGAGCGGTTGTTCCAGCCCCCGGAAGTAAAGCTTGAGGACACCAGCTATGGAGTCCATGTCATGGTCATTCTGGTCCCCAGCCAAAGGGTCCTCTCCTGAAGATAGGTTACCCCCACCCCAGAAGGAAAGAAAGTGAGTTAGGAAATGACAAAGCATTCTCATCTCATTATCTCTCTGCCCTGCATGACAACCATGATGTGGCATACTGTTCAGGTTAATCAACACTCCCTGTGGGTTGGGAGGTGGAAAACAAGAACTACTTCTCTGATAAGAATCATGAAACTGGGAGGAGACTGAGCCTCCAGTGGAGGGAAAACTAGGCCAGAAGGCTAGCTTCTCTGACTACCATATCAGAGGACACCTACTGACAGAACAGTTATCCCAGAATCCCAATGGAAATTTTCATATCAAATGTAATTAAATTTAATGATAACACCAACCTTAAATTGAAACTATATATATCCATTACAGTGACAGAAATTGCCAAAGCTTGCCCATTACCTTAATAGACCACAAGATGATAGATGAGATACAATGAACAGGCACATTAGCCTTGATATTAACTGCCACCAAGGGTTCTGGAAGAGGCTATTAACTGTCTGGATATACAGTAACTACTTGGGTTTTGGCAGATCATCACAGGAATGAAGCAGGATGGGTGGGGCTAAGAAAGAAGGAAGCTGGGACATGCCTCAGCATCTCTCTGTGTACCTACTGAAAGTACAGAGAAAACAGGCTATCTCTTAGGGGAAAGGTGGAGCCAGTTCCCCAGGGCTGAGACATTTACCTTACAGCTCTTTATCCCCACCTCACCTCTCTCAAAGGCATTTTTGATGTCATTCACTTCCACTTGTGATCCAGATACCCGGAAAATTCCCTCATGTTGTAGGCCTAGAAACACACAAAATAAGAGTGGTCAAAGTGAAAAAAAGACAAGTTCATAGTCATAAAGCCAAGATTAGTAGAATACCCATCTCCATTGGTACCACACATTTAAGTATTTTGTCTTTTCTGATTTAGGACAAAGGAGGAAAAACAGGGCAGGATTATGAGGCATTGCATAAGGAAAGCATCTGACCAAAGACTTAAGGGAAAAGATGTTCACATCCTTTTCTGATTCCAAGGCAGAGTCCCAGGTTGTTGTTTTTTCTTCCTACCTGTAGACTGGGAGTCCCTGGGTGGTGCTTTCTTATTGCTGTGGTTAGGAATGGAAGTGGGTCTTGGCAGGTAAGGCATTAGTTACCATTAGAGAGGTTACCAGAGAAAGACTGAGGCTGTTATGTTTTCTTTAGCATTTTAACACTATCCCACTATTCTAGGGGAAAATGCTTTCTGAACTGATGAAAAACAGAGGATATAAAAACAAAAATGCGCCGGGCGATGGTGGTGCACGCCTTTAATCCCAGCACTGGGGAGAGGCAGGCGGATCTCTGTGAGTTCGAGACCAGCCTGGTCTACAGAGCTAGTTCCAGGACAGGCTCCAAAGCCACAGAGAAACCCTGTCTCGAAAAAACAAAAAACAAAACAAAACAAAACAAAAAAAACAAAAATGAACAATCAACAGACAACATTGTCAGTCCCTGTCCTAGGCACTGATCCCTGACTGCTTGCCACCCTTTTCTAAAGAAAACATGTAAAGACTGTATAATGAAGTGTATAAAAAACTCTCTTCTCATGGTTTTGCTGGATTAGACAGTCATGAAAATTAATCCTTATGTAATTACTGCCACTGCCATTACATATAAAGCATTTGATCCTCACATAACCTTCCAATGTCAGGGTTAGCAGTAATCCCATCTTTAGATGAGGGGACTGGGGAAAACATAGCAAGAACCAGGAACAGAGGTCAAAGACAGTTTTTGTTGCTGTTTTGTGTGTGTGTGTGTCAAGATTGATTGATTGATTGATTTATTATATATGCAGTGTTTTTTCCTGCCTGCCTGTCAGAAGAGGGCACCATAATCTCATTATATGGTGGTTGTAAAGCCACCATGTGGTTGCTGGGATTTGAACTCAGGACCTCTGGAAGATGAGCAAGAGCTCTTAACCTCTGAGCTATCTCCCTTAAAGGCAGTCTTGTGGCTGCAATCACAGACTCGGTTTTCAGTGTCAGACAAGAGGCCTATTGGTCTGCAAGTGCAGAGGATGGGAGAGAGCCATCCTGGCCTGTTTGTACTTAGACACAGCTTAACAGAGAACACCACACAAGCAACTGTAACATCACATGGGACTGGCCCACTTAGGGGCTCAGCTAATAACCCTAGCTGTATCAGGATTTTCAGTCTTTCTCCAAGCCTAGATATCCTTTGTCAACATTTCTCTGTGATCATCCAAATGTCATGATATAAACCTCAGACTGATTCTAGAAACACAAACAAAATAATGCTAGATTTTGCTAGATGCTTCAGAACATTCGATTAGTTAGATTTCTGAAACCACACAGGCCAAGACTGAAGTTGTAGAAATCTGACTGAAAGTCAGTGAAGGGAATGTGACTCCCCAGCTTGTAATAAAATGTAAGCTGTTTGTGCCTCTAAGGTAATCCCTAAAATATTCCTCACAGTATGGCAAGCTACAGTAAAATCCCATCAGTGCCAGTTCGGTGGTACCGTTAGTTACCAAATGGGGCATGAGAGTCAGAAAATGCTGTTTAAAAACAGAATGTATCATACACAGCAAAGCTCTGACAGAAACAGAAACACACCCAAGGATTTATCAGAAACACAGGGTAAAAGGAAATGTCATCTCAAACCAGGCTAACTTGGTGTGTTTTAGCTGCGGAGGTACTACACAACTTCTTGAGGGGGTAACCTTAGTGTTTCTGGGTAGGTTTAATGGTTAAGAAATGTAGCCTTGCCTGTGGGACCAAGGAAGAACAAATGAGAGTTGAGCTTGTTGGAAATCAGACAACTGGTTACAGTTTTCCTAGAGAATAGATGCCCTAGATAATAACCACTCATTATTGCGTGTGCATGTGTGTATGTGCCGTGGTACATGTGTGGATTATCTCACATACCAGCTTGCAAGGCAAGCACTTTTATTCACTGAGCTATCTCACTGGCTGACCAGACGGAATCTTTAGAGTACCTGGTGTGATAATCCTGAGAGGAGAAAAAATATATTTTTCAGAAAGGAGAAAACAGTTGCTTTATTTGCTATTATGTATAACCAAAATAAGATATCCATAATCTTTATTCTTTGTTTCTTCTTAGCACACACTAATATAAACATATGAAAATCCCTTGGATTTAGGTAAACTATTTGGAACTGACACAAAGCCTGCTGGACTTAGCTCTTGCTAAGAGTTGTTCTCCTAGGTAACTCCTAGACTGACTGTTGCAACTACTTCACATTCCTTTCTTGAAAACGGTAGATTAAAAAAAAATCCCTTCATGGTTAATTTTAGTGGTTCCCATAGCACGATTAATAAAAACCCAGAGACAGATATTGGGGTTCAATCTAAAGGTCAGAAAGGCAAAATAGCCACTGGCTCTTACCAAAACGGTGATCCTGACTCCAGGAAACCTCAGAATGAGACTGACTGAAAGCTATCTCCTCCCATTTCTATTCCTCTCTAATGCTAGGATTAACGGCATGCACTACTACCACCCAGTTTTTATGCTAAACTAGTGTGGCTACTGGAATTAAAGGTGTGTGTCACCACTGCTTGGTCTGTAAGGCTGACCAGTGCAGCTGTTTTACTCTCTGAACTTCAGTCAACCTTTATTTATTAAAATACAAATGAAATATCACTATAGATTTCTCACATTTCTCCTCTGGAATATCCTCATGGATCACCTTGATCCACCACTATGAAAACTGCTAGTTTCCTCATCTACATAATGGGATCTATTATAATATTTATCTTCCAGAAGATACGACAATAGAGTGTAAAAATTCCTAGCATTTAGTGTGCCATAGACTCTTTTGAGGTTAACAAAGGTTATAAATCCACTAAATGTACATATACAAAATATTTTAGCATAGCTTTTAAGGAATCCATGAATTTCAATCTTTTCCTTGGGCAAACTGCCAATTCAGCTAGACAAATATTTTGACTAGTTATTTTGTGCTGAATTAAAATTTAAAAAAAATTAACCATGGCCAGAAGTGGTGGCTCAGACCTATAATTCTAGCATTCTGGAGGCTAAGGCTGGAGGATTATTGCAAATTTATTGTCAGCCTGGTTCTTCTAGTAAGTTCCAGTCATGGCTACACAGTGAGACCATGTCTTAATATCATCTAACCCCAACAATCCCAAGTCAACAATGTACTGTTAACTGACACTTCTGTGATAAAAAGTATTAATTCTTTATATATACACATAAATACATACATACACACACATATCCTTCTGTCTTTGAGTGTGTCTAGCCTTGCAGGTACTTGTTAGTGTGGGGGTATACATCTATGTGCGCATGTGTGTGTGGAGGTCAGAGGTCAATATTGGATCTCTTCCTCTATTGTTCTCTATCTTTGCTACTTTAGAGCAATGAGGCTCAGTGATCTGCCACATACAACTCTGCATCCCACATACAATTAGCACTGGGGTTACAGGCATGTGCTGCCACGCCAAACTTTTTATATGGGTTCTAGAGATCTGAACTCAGGTTCCTGAACTTGCACAGTAGGCACTTTACCAACCAAACTGTAAGTTTAAAGTTTATGATCAAAATATTGTTTTCTAAAGTCATTTATTAGTGATTCATTCTCCTCATCTGTAATGCAGCTAGGTGAACCTAGCTATTCTATTTGGGCTTTTATTCATATCTATCTATCTATCTATCTATCTATCTATCTATCTATCTATCATATGTGGGAACCCTAACATTAAAGTCAAAACCACACAAGAGAATATATTCATTCTTTATTTTCCATTGCTCTTTTTGCACCTACTGTCTACTTATAATAACCAACCAGCAAAATACAAGCTTCTAGACTCACTGTTCTTGTATTTTTCTATAGAAATGAGAAGACACATATAGTCAATATATTTGTAAATCTTCATTCTTATGGGAAAGCACAGTACACGCTGTTTTGTATTTTTTGACTTAACAATATAGCCAAGAAATCTCTCTATACCAGCCTATTAGTACCCTTGCTCATCATCTTCACAGTGATATACTACTCCACTATATAGACATACTGTAAGTTTTTCAGTCACTCTTCTCTATATGGGCACTCAGGATGATTTTAATATTTGCAATTATAAATAATGCTGTAGTAAATAGTCTTATGCACAGGTTTGCTTTTATTTTTTTAAATACTTTTTGAGGCTCACCTTCACAGTAATATCTAGAAAGATTACCAAATTGAGTGATAAGTGCATATACTGTTTTACTAAATATTGCCAAAATTGCTTTCAAGTTGAGTTGCCCTGGTCTTCATCCCCACACAGATGGCCTCTATTTTTGTCTCTTCATAAACTGTGTCTGTTCGGGTGTAGAGATAGGTATGTTCAAGCCACAATAATGGAAATCTTCATGTCTCAGCTAAAACCATGGCTAATACCCTACTAGTCTAGGGTATTAAGACATCTGTGGCTTACTGTAGAAGCATCCTCCTTCCTTCTGGTTTTAATCTCCAGGCAGCACTCAGGGACCCTTCAAATATATGATTCTTGTTTTCCAACAGCTTCCTCTCTCACTCAGAATAAAATCCAATACCTACTGCTGCCAACCAAGTCATAGGAGACCTGGCCTGTGTGTTCGTCTCCTGTCAGCCTCTCTTCACTCCTGCTTCAGCCTGTATGCTTCTCCTTACATACGCCAATAGTTTCTGCACTTTGGTTCTCTCTCCACAGAATGCTCTTCCTCAGATGGACACATCTCTTTCCCTCTTCTTCACAACTCTACTTAAATGTGAAGACACTTTCTGTGATCTCTCCGTTCTCCATCCTGCACCTTGCTTTGATTTCTTCATGACATACATCAGCACCAGAAATATTGAAAGTCAATTTGTGTATTGACAGGTCATCTGTTTGTTCTTCAGAGGAACAAAGGGTTCAGGAAGAACCTTTTTACTGGTCTATAATAAGCAACCAATATAGACTTTGTATTGAATGAACAAGTGAACGCTTGGATGAATGAATCCACAAATTCTTCCCATTGTTCTTTAAAAACCAATAATTATTCTTCTACTGAACTCAGCTGGGATTCATCTTTGCCAGCTCCTTGGTATTAATTACTGCTATCTTGTAAATTTCTTACTCTGTTACTGTCGATTACTACTACTTTATTTCTTTTCATTAACTTACTATCTGCTTATCTTCTTCCAAATGCATCATAAAACCACTTAGAAACAAGAATAGTGTATTATTTCTGTTTATGTTTTTTTTTCTTGGCAATACATGGTGCTAAGCATTAGTCAGGGGCTTATAAAGTATTTGCTGATTGTTCAATAATGATGAACAGTGCTCTTAGTTCAAGTGAACTGAGATAACATTAAAAATTTATAGTTGATGGAAAGCAGGACAAGCTATAAGAATGCTAAAATAATTACTGTTTCGGAAATAAATCTAAGAAATAAATTTCTTAGCTTTGCTCAAATAGAAGGGCAAGTACAATTTGACAGATAGTGAGAAGGAGCCCCTGAAGACACACAAAAGATGGACATAACTTTAGGACATGTATCAACTAAATTTGTGGGGACACTGTATCCACTGAGACCAAATTAAGACAAAAATCCAAATATATGCAGTCAGTGCAACATTAGAGGATGGAATTGTTTCAAACCATTCTGGTACAGCCAATGGGACAAAATGATTGGGCTACGCTATAGGAGACACCCACACACACACAGGCTATAATACTGGCTTCACTAGCACTACCACTGGGCCTAGCTGCACTTCTTTACAAAGTAGCTTGGTTTTAAAACTCTGGAACTAGAGCATGGTAAGTAGTCAAACATGTTCTATTTTCAACATGTAGATATGGCCTTTCTGAAGTCTCCTTCAGAAATATTACATGAATAAGTAAGATTTTATTCCTTTTCTAAGAATGTGAGGATGGGAAGGCAATCTCTATTGCTCTCTCTGGTATATACGCACATATACATATACATGTGCCTCTGTGTAGCTAACAGAGGCCAGAGAATAGTATTGGCTGTTTTCTATTCTAATACTCTCTGCCTTAGTCCTTTGAGGCAGTGTCTCTCCCCTGAACCTGAATCTTCAGAATTTTTTTAGGTTGGGTGGCAGCCAGCAAGCCCCAGAGATCTTCCTGTCTTTGCCCTCCACAGCACTAGAGTAAAGTTGTGCCTAAGATCCTGCTGTTTGCCAGGCGGTGGTGGTGCACACCTTTAATCCCAGCACTCGGGAGGCAGAGGCAGGCGGATCTCTGTGAGTTGGAGACCAGCCTGGTCTACAAGAGCTAGTTCTAGGATAGGCCCCAAAGCTACAGAGAAACAACCCTGTCTCGAAAAAACAAAAAACCAAAAAAAAAAAAAAATCCTGCTGTACTTGTTGTGTAAGTTCTGGAATCTAAACTAAGGTCCTCATGGTTGTGCAGCAAGAGCTCTTAACCACTGACCATCTCTCCAACTCAACTACCTCTATTTTTGCTCTACAAAGAATTCTTTGACGTTCTGACTTTCTCACAAACACGAGCAAAGCTGTGTTCTTGCTTACCATGTCTGCTAATAAACCGAATGCAGCTTTCTACCACCAGAGGAATTGCCTGGCTGGAATCCTGAAAAACAAAAGGGAAGTATGGACATTAGAAACAAGGATAGGAGAAGTGAGTTTGGTCTCAAAATGGAGATAAAACTGCTACCTGGTCATGCTCAGCCTGACTGCATTGATGCTATGGTATGTTTATAGTGGCTATGTTTATGGTGGTGGAAATGGTGGCAGAAGGTTTTAAAAAAGACAGCAAGGGGCTATGGCTTTTAAAAGAGAGGTGGCGGTGGAGGGGGGTGGGAGAGGGAGAGACAGAAGACAAAGAGACAGACACAGGCAAAATATCCATGCACATAAAAAAATAAAGCTTAAAAATCTAAAAGAAAGATTGTTCAAGTTGGCACAGTAACGGTAAGAAAGAAAAGAAAAAGCAACTCTTGTAAATAGCAAGAAGGACATGCGAATATGTGAAGCAGGTTTCCCAGATGTCCATTTTTGTTTTGTCTTTTTGCTATATAATCTTGATTGTGCCAATTGATTTATATGGGTTTCCAAGTTGCTGTCTACAAACTGAGGAAGGGACTAGTGGAAGGACTAGTTATATATACTATTGGTACATGAATATATTCATTCATGTACCAATAGTATATATAAGGAATATATTCATTCATGTACCAATAGTATATATTTGCCTGCATGCATATTTGTGTGCCCCTTGTACAACTGATGCCAAGGAGGCCAGAAGAATGCACTGGATCTCCTGGGACTGGAGTTACAGGTGGTTGTAAGCCATCATGTGGGTGCTGGGAATTGAACCCGGGTCTTCTGCAAGAGCAGCCAGTGCTCGTAACCACTGAACCATCTCTCCAGCCACAGGTACATGAACAATAATGTCTACACTTACAGAGGTGTTGGGCCACATATAGTCTTTTAGATAGATTGCTTCTATGGTATATTATTATTATTACTGTTGTTTATTTTCATTTGATAATATTGAAATGAGGCTTGGTGAGGTTAAATGTCTGCTTGTATCATATAACTAGTAAACAGAAAAGCCAGGACTTAATTTTCTATTACCAAAGACTCTGCTGTCACACATACTGTATCCTGTAAGAGTAGCAAACACTGCATACCAATTATTACTAAAAATCAATAATGAAGCTACATGAGTAATAATTCAGCTGTGTGAAAGAAAAACAGTAAGTATGGCTCTATACCCTTGTTTCAGATGTTCAGGAAAGACTAAACTTTACAGTGGGGTGAACCCATTGCATCTTCTGCCCAGTTCACAGGTTGGCTGCACCCATCTGGCTTTGGACTTTTCAACTGTGGCCATGGGGTTTGGCTACTATAAGGGAAGCAGCTGCGTCTCTGGCTTAGAGAAGAGATGGCTTGGCCTGTGCACGTTCCAAGCTTTCCAGTGATCAGGATGCTGCTGAAGTGGAGCTGGAGCCAGAAAGGTCTCAGTGTCACAAAAACTCATTTTATTATTATTACCTTTTCTTTTTTTGAGACAGGGTCTCACTAAGTAGCCCTGGTTGGCCTGAAATTCAGTAGGTATGTGATATTGGCCTTGAACTCACACAGAAACCTGCCTGCCTCTGCCTCCCTGGGATTAACAGAGTGTGACACCACACCTGGCTCCAAACGCTCATCTTTGTGGCACTCCTCCCCCCAAACCTGACTGCTTCCTCTAGCTGTTCAGGTACAGCGGCAGGGTCTGACATTTTGTAAGATCATGGACTTCTCCCAGTCAGCCCAAAGAAACTTAGAGGAAGAATGTTGGTCCTTTCTTCTGTATTCTAATGAAAACTAGGCTCAACTATTGCAATGGGAAAAGCCTCCATTCATAGGAAATGGTGTATCAGGAGAGATAATGAAGGTAGCAGAAATGGATTTGCAGAATTTTCTGGTCCCAGATTTATCTGAAGTTAAAGAAGAAAGACACTGACTGGCATACTTACAGGTTCCTGGCATTAATAAAGTATGTGAATACAAAGTTCTCTCTGTATGTGCAGGAAATGATCTACCAACAGTAGGATGACAGGAAACAAGGCACCAAAGCTGCATGCTCAAGGCCCCCAATAGCCCACCAGAAGAAACAACTTGAAGGGATAATCTGTGGCAGACAAGGGTAGGTCAGAGATGCCTGCCTGTCCTACTACAGAAAGCTAAAATGGAGTGTAAGGCAGAGTCTTACAACAGCACAGAGGCTTCAGTTTCAGATGTTCTAATTGTCCTCGCTGCTTCCTGTGATGTTTCTAAGATACAAGTGACTCGTTTCCTCAGTTGTGCTGTGTCCCCATGACACCCACAAAACCTAGATGTCACCACTAACTGCATACAGCTTCCCCAGCACTCTCTGTATTTTTCTATTTATTGTTTTTCCTCTTTCCCTTCTTTTCTCAATGTCAGAATGAATCAATGTCAGTTTCATTACTTTGTTCACAATGTTTTTTTTTTTTTTTTATCATATAACCTTAGGTTGGAAAGGGTTTTTAGGACAATCAGGGAAAATTTCCATTCAATCAGTCGGAGGGAATTGACAGTTGGCATAATTTAGAAAAAAGAGTAGAGCATCAGTCAGTAATTTACAGGAGAAAACTGTCAGGATGATAACTATACAATATCCACACAGTTTGATATGGTTTCTTTTAGTATGAAATTAGGTTTGTTTTTTGTCTTAAAACTTATTTTTAAGTGGTATATAAAATCTGTTAATGGGATACTATGTGGAATTTTGATACATGTAGAAACTATATGATGTTTGAGACAGGTTAAACAATTATCTATCTCCATCAACATTTATCACTTACTTACGGTAAGAGTTTAAAATTCTGGGACTGGAGAGATGGCTCAGTAGTTAAGAGCACTTGTTGCTCTTGCTGAGGGCCCAGGTTCAGTTTTCAGTACTCACATGACAACTAACAATCATTGTGGACTCCAGTTCCAGAGGATCTGATGCTCTCTTCTGACCTCCATGGGCACTGCACATATAAGATGCACAGGCATACACATAGGCCAAACACCCATATACACAAAATGAAATAAATAAATCTTTCAGAAAAGAGACAAGCACAGAGTGGATCACACCCAAGGAAAGCACATGGAAGTAAGGCCCGGAACGAGGTGAAAGAGGTGATGGGTAGGAGAAAATGAAGGACGTGAGTGGAACAAAGATGCCTGTAAGTAACACCTGATGGCAGATGGCAGGGGCGGGGGCAGGGCCCTCCTTTTTAGCAAATGCCTAGAGCTGCTTTGGACACAGCCTCTTAGGAAAGTAAGTTTCCACATTATTCCTTATATTTAGCTGATTTGCAAGAAACAAAGACTGATTTCTTGGTTATTTATAGAAGATTTTACTGTTCTGACCATCTAAGAAAAAATTCTTGCTAGAGAGAAACTGGAAGAGCAACCAACTCAAGGCCCTTATTGTACTGAGGCATGCAGTAAATCCTGGACTCTGATGCAAACCTGGTACCAGGGAACACACCTTGCCTGCAACTGCTTTAGTGCAGCAGTATGCAATGTAAACCAGATGGTGCCACTCCCCGCTGATGGTGACCCCAGCCCCGGGCAGACACTACGTGCCAAACTCCAGCACTCCTGCAGCTACAGCAGAAGACACAAAGCTCCCACATGCATGCTCTAGGTCTGTGCAAGAGGTCTAGGGTTAGGTCAGAAGTGGAAAGAAATAAACTTCAAGTTTAAGACTATTCTTGGTGATAAAGGAAGAATGGTTGCTTAGTCTGTAAAATATATGCCTATTAATTTAAAATTCAACAAATTATCTTTGAGAGGCATTCCATTCTTCTCAAGTTTTAACAGAAATCCAGGGATAAAGGAGAAGAAAGAATTATAGGAATAAGATGGTAGGAAGTTACAGTGAAATTTTTTATCATTTTAAAAAAGTATATCCAGGCCTGATGGCAAGTGCCTGTAATCCCAGAATTTGTGAGACAGAGGTAGGAGGAATACAAGTTCAAAGCCAGACTGGGAAGTATAGTAAGTAAGATGCTGTACAAAAAACAAAACAAAACAAAACAAAACAAAACAAAACAAAACTAAAAACAAAACAAAAAAACCAAACACCACACAACAGAAAAAAATGATTTTTTTTCCATTAAAATGATATCCACAGTTAAAAGGAAGGCTAGGGGATATGGCTGAGTAGTTAAGAGGACTTGTTGCTCTAGCAGAAGACGACCCAGGTTTGGTTTTGGCATCTACACAGTGGCTTATGAACATCTGTAACTCCAGTTCCAGGGGATCTAACATCCTCCTCTGCCTTTCCTGTAGGCACCAGGCATGCACATGACACATATACACGTTGGCAAAACACTCATACACATGAAATAAAAGTATTGAGGAGACAAAGAAGCCTGTGTCAAGTGACTTCTATAGCTGGACTGCCCACCAACCAGAGTAGTCAGATCCGTGAACTGAGTGCTGGGGCTGCAAACAGTGTAGAAACCCTGTGCCCTCTGCATTTGATGACTGCCCTATGTCCAAGGGCACCTCTTTGCGTGACTACAATTGACATTTTTTTAAAAAGTTTTATTTATATTTATATGTGTGTGTTTGTCACATATGCACTCATACCCTAAAAGGCCAGAAGAGGATGTTGGATCCTCTGAAGCTAGAGTTACAGGCAGCTGTAAGTGGTATGACATGGTTGACTTCAGCTATACTTAAGTCCTTTGGAAGAGCAGCAAGTACTCAACTGCTGAGACATCTTTCCAGTCCTGCAAATGACTTTTCAAAGGCCTGGGTCAGCTTTTTCTTGGGTAGACAGAATGATATTTTTGAGCGCTGCCTTCCACCTGTTCTTGCTAACTTTCCCTCCTGCAAAGCTGGTGTGAGATGCTTAGGGAACGTGAAGTTGCTTCAGAACTTACTGCTGGCTCTAACTAGTGAATGGAATATTGCTACTGCAAAAACAGGCTTCAATTCATTTTCTTTTTACTTTAAAGTAAGTACAGTTGTACTGAGATTTCTCCTGATGTGGATTACTCAGGCCACTGCTAAGAGTCCTCCTAACACGGGTGAGAACTGGTTGCTCAGTGGTAGATTTTAATACAATGATGAAAGCCACAATGCAAACCTATCAAGTTGAGCACTTCCTTTGTAACATACCCCAAACTGTTTCACAGTACTTTATGACGGAGTGTCAGGAATACAGCTAAGATACAATAAACCAGAAGCAGTCAAAGTCTACAAACTTAAACAAGACTTTTAGACTGAGGATCAGCTACCTCAGTGCTGGTGCGTCAGTGTGTATGTGAGGAATTGTAAGGCCTCTGTAGGGACTCCTAGAAGGACGTCATGGGCTGTTATAGAACAATTTGTCCACGTTTAAACCAAACCCAACTAACAACAAGAATAAATCACAGAGCCTATGATAATTCCAGGAAGTTAAATGAGTGTTTGCTACAATCTCAACCACACAGTAAGTAAAGACACAACCAAGCACAAGCATAACGTTAGAGGAGGCACGCCATGGAATTCAGTCATGACTGTGGCAGGTATTTGGTTTTCATGAGCCAGGCTGAACAATCTGGCTCTGCTGGCTCTTTACCTGTTTCCTCACGGTTGAGCTACGCCTGTGGTTGACCCACCGAATCAGAAAGGACCAGTCCAGCAACAGGAAGGAAAAAGAAAACAGGGACAGAATGAGACAACCACTCCTAAATTAGAGTAAAACTTTAAATCATGTAAAACAACTGTACAGCAGGTAACGGAACACATTGACCTCATTCCCAGAAACAGCTAAGAGACTTGGCTAGCTATTTCCCAACAAAAGTCTAATAAACTTTATTCTTTCATAAAAGCACAGAGGTCCCTGATTTTAATGCCTACCACTGTTTAAAACTTAAACAGGAGGCAAATGGTTTAATCTGTAGTAAAACAGATTCATGTTAGACAATTTTAAGATCTTTCTGTTTGAAAGGAAACAATAATAAACACCAAAGCATATATATTTTGAGACTCTTTGGAAAAAGAAAATGAATGCTTACTTTATTTTATTTTTATTTAGATGGTAGGACATTCAGACTGAAATGAACTCCAGGGACCCTCTGTCAGTGCTTCTCAAGCCGTGTTTAGGTGTATTGGCCTTTTTCTCACAGTGTATCAGATACAGAAGCATACTACTCAAAACAAGAAGGGCAGCACTGCCCTGTTGTGTGAAGGTAGGAGCCAGGCAGGGGTGCTGGGCCTTGCTCTGACTCTCTGCCAGCCTGCCCTGAAGGCACCTTTCTGAAATCCTAGTGCTTCTCTAAATTAACGTAATACTCTTGTCTTTAACAAGAGGAGATGACATTCTGAGAAGGGAGATAAACAGTCCAAGGTTACAAATGGGGAAATAATCCAGCAAAGGACGTCAGTTTGGCTCTATCTAGGCTTTCCAGAGACGCGGCACTTCTGATGAAGTTAAGACCTTACTACCAGGAGACAGATTATACAGACTCTCACTTATCTTAGTTCCCTCCAGTCCTCACAATTCTATAGTAATGGGCCCTGAGCTGTCATCCGCTATGACAGAATGATGAAGATCAAATTGAGTTATGATATAAATAATGAGTCTATAACTGTAAATGGCCTCATGACTGTATGAGTTGTCAGTCTGATACAATGCAATCTGCTTCATTAAAGCGTGTTCTCCTTTAAATCAGCACATTTTTAGGCATCTGAGGGTGCTGGCTGAATGAATGTCTTGTTTTCTGCCAGCTCATAGCAGCATCAATGACTGCGAGGGAAAATATTTGGCTGAGGTGGAGAGGGAGGGAAGGTGGGGAAAGACTGGGAGTGTTGCATACTTGTACATCAGCAAAGTTTCTCCCAGTGCTATTTGGCAAGCCAATGCAATATAATATTTCATTATCCACCAACAGTCACTAATTAGGGCCTATCATCTTTTCCATGTATTAAAAAAAATCAAATCAAATGCTATCACCTTATCTTTCTGTGTTGGAGACTTCCCCAAGGTCACGTGTTGAAGTCTCCCAGCTAAGAGGTTAACAAGACACACTATAGTCTGATGTTTATTACCCTTGCAATAGAGTGGTTTTGGGAGTTTCTGGGAAGATTTTTATCAGGTGATAACTCCCATGACTTATTTTGCTTAGACTTCCCTAAATGGTAACAACTCCACAGCCAGTCAAGAGGAGATGAAGTTAGTAAGGCAAAGAGAAGGAAGCAACTCTTGCCTCAGGCTACTCCTTTGCAAAGTCATCCAATCACCTTGGGCCTTTCCTTATCCCTGCCCAGAGCCACTTACCTAGCAAGGCTACAATCTGTCCGCTGACCTGTGGAAAGAGAAGGGGAAATGTTATTTGTCGAAGCAGAAGGGGTGGGTTGGGTTGTACACCCTAGGAATTACCATACCCTTCATATCTTCCTAGGGAGCCAGTAGCAGAAAAGAAAAGGACTGACCTAACTTCATTTTGGGCAGGAACTTTGCTTCTCCAGTTCCCATGCCAAAGTCATCATCTTTGAACCTTGTAAACTCTACTTTTCAAATGAGAAAACAGGCATGGATGTACGGGAAGAACAAGTCAAATCATATTTTAGAGAAAAAAAATATTGTAAGCCCTTCCCCATACATGAAATCTTGCTTCTCATGTATGTGCTAGGATGTGAGCAGTGGTGGAGAGGGGTACTTTAGGGGACACAGGACATGGAACAAGTTTGTCAGTATATAAGCAAACTACATATGCACACAGTTGAGTCTGGGAAGAAAAGGTAATCTAGAGAGAGGTGGGAGAGGATACATAGCTTCTAGTTTTAGAATCATACTAAACTCTCCTGTTAACTTGCACTGACAGTAAGGCAGAGCTAAGATCCAGTAGCCATGTGGCTAGCAAACGATAGCTTTCAGTCTAATGACAGGTGGTTAAGACTTTCATGGGCCATAGTTAGCTTTGAAAAATGAAATGGAAAATCTTTAAGTTGGTAAAAAAAAGTGTTTTATAAAAATATCCATATATGCATACGTAAACCATGATGTAAAATGTTGCCTTCTTTGGGCCAATAGTTAATGAAGCTTGATCAGTCTTGATAAATCAATGAGAAACCCTGGCAGGCAGTGAGTCAGGAAAGAAGAGATCAACTCTCATACTTCTTATTCAGACTTCAGAAAGGCAACTCAGAGGGATGGGGAAGGCAGAGTTTTTTTTCTTGTATTTAAAGTGTTGCTAATTGTTAAGATAGTTCAGTTCATCTTTGGCAATCCCCAACAGCCTGTTACCAAAGGCTCAGTTTTCATCCATAAAAGTATTATTCTGAGCCATTATTTTCAACATCTGTCCTACTTCCTCCCTAGAATATTCATACACATCAACTATCCCTCTGTGGCAAGAATCAGAGGCTCTTACATTATGGTGACAAACCCTTACCGACGGCAGGGACATGATAATTTGCACATAGGATGATTTATAGCTATTATTTTTCTCTATCTCTGGAACTTGTCATCTTTAAATTATGGTAATTTGCAGCCCCAATGGTCAACCTCCATCCCTCTAGAGTAGCATAATTTGATGCATACATGTGTATAAACACGCACACATACATGGCTCCAAAGCCCTTTTCCCTATCTTCCAGTCTATGTTGAGACTGTCTTCAAAAAAAGAAATCATACGTATACATTTCTTCAAATGGTTCTTTAGGCTGCATTCCCTTAACTCACCACACAGCGATCTGGTAAACCAAAAGTAAAGACTTTCTGTAAGCATATTTGGCCTTCATGCCTAGATATAAACTGTTTGGGTGGAAAAGATCGGAAGGTACTAAAGGACTCTTTTTCACATTAAAACAAACATGTAAAAACAAAACAAAACAAACAAACAAACAAACAAACAAACAAAAAACAAGATCAAATGTACTGGAGAAAAAAAAATTCGGGGGAATTGTCCAGGGTAGGTCAAGGACAAGGCAATAACAGTGGGTAGATGAGTCTGGTCTGAAAAGTGGGATTCTAATTTCTCAGCTAAAAAGCCAGTCTAATAAAATTTGCTATACTTCACAGTTTGTCTGATGAGTGCTCAAGAATTTATTTTAAAATGTTAGACTTGTGTCTGAGTGCAGGCACCAGGTCACCAATGAGACCACATGCTCCCTGCGGCCTCATCTTTAAGAAAGAGATTAGTGGGATAGGGAGGAGGGCAGAACATTCAGGGCATCCCCAACCTGGGAATCCCATTAATCATATGATGCTGAAAGCTAGGCAGGAGACCTGGGCAAGGTGCCAAACAACCTCGGGGAAAGCTTCTTCAACCTTGGCCTTCTGTTTGACGGCTGACTGGGGAGAGAAAGTCCAGAATGTCTGTCCAGTTCTCTGCCTCAATACTTTCCAGTGTCTGGTTAAGATTACTGCCAGAGAAAAATACAGCCCGTTCAGCACTTTGGTCTTACTGCAGCCACACGAGAGAGATGGTTGCTATTTAAGTGAAAGGAAATGAATGTTCACCCTGGAAGCTGAAGAAGCAGCAAGTCTGCCCTGCTCCCTCCATCTTTTTCCAGGTCTGGGCAGCTCTAACAAGTGTCTAGAGAGAAGATAACCCTGAAGCCCCTTTACCACAGGTGTGGCAGGGAGGTGAAGGATGGGTTTGAGTGGAAAGCAGGCACACTCCATCTAAAGAAACAGCTGATGAATATTAGCATTTCATTACACACTGCCCTTTCCCCATCACTCAAGCAGCCATTTAGAGGAGTACTTTCACAAAACAGGCTAGGAAAGGAAATACAGTCATATAGCCAGTGGGGTCTAGCTGGCTGAGGAAGGGAGGCATGTGCTCAGATTCAGAGTACTGCTGGGCCTCTCTGCTCTACCAAGCTTCAGCAGAGCATGCTCACACTCACTTTCTCCCAGGGTTTTCTGCAGGAGGTCATGCTTGGCTTGTAACTTGGTGATCAGGTTCCTACCCTCCAAGTACTCCTTCATTTTCTGTAAGGGAAGAGGAGAAACAAGAGAACTTAGATTCCTGAAGAAACACAAGGCACACATGTCAACTGGACAATTTGCCTTTGAGAAGGCATTTGATTCCTGACTCTCTGACTCACTTTCTAGCAAGTCCATTTAAATTCTTTAAAAAAAAATCTTTCTCTCTTTGCTGATTTTCATGGTGGGTGCAAACCTACACAGTATTTTCCTATGAATTTCATGTTAGCCAGTATAAGAAAACTGTTTTCTAAGTAAAGTCCTTCACCTGTTTCCTTTAGTCCCAGTAAAGAAAGAGAATGGCAGGGAGAGTGGACAACCTTCCTGAGCCTCAGCTTCACTGGTGTGAAGACATGCATTTGCTATCTGCCCCTTAGGCTGATAGCCTGCTCCTCCAGGGAACATTTCATCACCATAGGAGTAGTGTCAATAGTAAACCTCAGCCACAGAGCACCCTTCTCCAAGTCAGACCCTAACAAATCTCATCTACCGAAAGTTGGGAGTTTCTGCATGCTCAGCTGGAGTGGCTGCCACCTATTATATGCATATACAAATTCCAAGCACAAGATGAGCTGTGCCATCACACCTGCAATAGTAGGCGAAGTACGATTGCTATGTTGCAGTTGCAGTTTTGACATCTCATCAGCTCTTGTCTGGTTTGTGAGAGACGATGCTTGACTGGATAATTCACAAAATCTATTATCATTCTTCCTACTCTACTTGAGTAATGGGAAGAAGGTAGCAGACTTGAAGAGATTAATGAAATTGCTCAGGATCAAAAAAGTGATGGAGTCCCCCACATCCCCACTGAAACATTCCATTTCCCAGGGAAGCTCCTTAAGAGAGGAAGCAAACAACACAAAATAGTCCCAAGAAGTTCCTGAGACTGAATAGATTTACTAGGCCCCTCTCTCCCAAGTATAAATAATACAGACTACTAAGTCACTATCAGACAAGCTAAGGGTCAAAGAAAACTCTCAAAACAAGTTCAGCTGCTTTAAAGAAGATAAGGACAGCTGGGCAGCCTGAAAAGAAGCAGAGGCCAGCCACACAGCCTGGAGGAGGCTCAGACTAACTAAGCCACCTAGAAAGGCCACTCTTCAACCTGTTGAGCTGCCTATACAGGCTATGTAGTGTGCCCCAGGTGTCTAGCTCTTGAGAGCTTTGGTGATGAAGATGTCTTTAAGTCATTTATGCTCCTGTAAATAACACTGCACCCATACTCCTACAGGTAACTTCAATAAAACTGACTGGACTTTGATGGTATCTGTATTATGGTCTGTCATGGGATCTCTATCTGGGGTGAGTAGAAGTGTGTGTTGTGTCTTCCTAGGAAAGTTTTTTTTTTAATCACACAATAGTATCCATACACGAAGTCTGACAGAATGGTATGTGCTCTGAAGCATTATCATAAAATGTCACACCTACTACATTACAGAGACAAAGAGAATCAGAACAAAATTTTATAGTAGTCATTATTTTTACATTAGTAGCAACCCAGGAGACACTAGACTAACTATTTTAGCACATAGTCTGTCTCTCCCTTACAATAATCCTATACATATACGAGGAAGATATTAGTAGTTCTTTATTAGAGATGAGAAGACAATTCTAGGAGAGGGAGGGTATAACCGCAGGCTAGTAAACGGTAATGCTAGGTGAGAGCATTTTTCCACTCTCCTCTACAATCATTCTCGAGACCCTGAGTCTGCCTTGGCCATTTCTGCTGCACTGGCTCATATGATGGTGTTTAACTCAGAAGCAAATGGTCTCCCAGAGTATGATCCACGTGTTACTAGAAAGACTTGGGTCTACGCCACCGAAGAAATGTTTTAATAATAATAATAGTTCTGTCTCTTACTGTGCACTAATTAAAAAAGAATTGTATTTCAAGCCTTTGACTTTTATGACCATTTCTAGTTCATAAATGATAAAGAAAAATGAAAAGTTCTGAGTTATTCTTACTTTATATTTTTCTATATAGTATGAACTTTTAAGTAAGAGCTTGCCCTCTCATTCCCATTTAAAAAGCAGGAAAACCTGCTTTTCTGGGAGATGGTCCCTGAGCCTCTTGTGCTTGCCGACGTGGCCCTATGGATAACCTGTAAATCCCCATGGCACCATTCTCATATAGCCCTATCACAGAAGGTTTACTCTGGTGTCTTTCTATCCAGAGACCATGTCATTGATTATCCCGACCATCCATGATGCTTAGTGCCACTCCTAGAAAATAGCAGGAACTTAATAAATATGAAGAATGAATAAATAAGTGAGCAATCTCATTCTCCTCTGAATAAACTGTTCCTTGCAATTACAAAACCAGTCCCTAAGGGTATCCCTACTCTAAATGAAACAAACCAGACAAATCCTCTGCTAAATCGTTTCTGTTGTCTTATTGAAGGCCCGTTCTCTGATCCTTTATGCCTTTCCATGAGAACATCTGCATGAAAACAGGCTCTCTTGTCACCCTCCTCTTCCCATCTGTTCCAGCTGTCAGCTCACTTACTGTCAGTGTTCCCCGGATGATATCCTAATCCCCATCCAATGCCTAATTGTGGGTTTGGAATCATACTTAGGACCCAGAGTGCAAAAGCCTCTAGGAAATATCCATTGCTAATAGTACAATCCCGAAAGGCCTATCTTTGGAAAGTTATCCCAGGAGTCTCAAAGGTTTCTTAATGAAGAAAATCCAAGAAGCTCCAACACAAGACCAAAATGTTCACAATACAGCCAACATTCTGAAAGGGAATGAATAAAAATTCCTTTATCCACTCATGTTTCTATTCTCAATTCCCAACCCTCCCCCACCCCAAGTTCATGTTTACAACTCACTAGGTAACTTCAGCTGTCACTTAGTGAACCATTAAAACAAATAACAATCTAATAAAGACGTATGATGTTACCTTTTCAGGTTTCATTAAATACTAAAGGATCAAACTGTATCAAGATATACTCTACATACCTAAAACAAGGTGGGTTTTGCATCTAGGTGGGAAAGGAAAGGAATCCCAGAGTCTGTAGACTACTATCTATCACTTCCTTATCTCACCTAGAAATCAGGACTGGGGATAAATAATCCTGCCTTTAACAGTGGAGGTGAGGTAGAAGGATTCAGTTGTTGCTGAACAAACAGAGCTGAGGTAGCTAAAGCCAAGGGAGGACTAAGTGGCTTTTTGGTACTTAGGCAGAATATCAAGATTATAATAATCAGACCACACACGCACACGCTCACGCATACATACTCACTTGCTCTCTATAATATACCAGATCACAGCTCTAAGTCTACTGGCTTGCCTAATGGACAAAGGACTGCCTTCTCTTCTATTGTCCTACCCAAATCTACCCCTAAGAATTCAGATAGTTTGGTTTTGCTATTTTATCAGCCAAGTTTTTAATCCTTCTTCATTTCACCTCCCATTTGAAAATGCCATACTTGGTGATGGAGAGTGAAGTTAAGAACACTTACTGTACTTACAGAGGACCTGGGTTCAGTTTCTAGCATCTACAAGGTGGCTCACAACTAGTTATGTACAGTTCCAGGGTTCCAATGCCCTCTGGCCTTTTGAAGGCACTTCATGAAGGCAAAAACTCACACAT